TGACCCTTGGTGACCTGACCTGTGACGTGACCTGGTATTGTCAGTGACCTCTAATAGCAACATATCTACTAGGCAACTGACGCCCTATCGCTGATTCTCGACAAAATGCGTTTTCTTCGGTGTTATAGCACATTCCCTAGAAGACCCGTGAACGGTGAAACATTTCATCTTTGACCTGACCTGTGACGTCATCGGTGACCCCGAGGTCAATGAAATTTGGTTTCCTTCGACAAATTTGACAGGCCTTTCGAACGCCGTTTGAATTTTGCGGATCCGTCCAGTAGTTTCGGAGATACGAGGGGGGGGGGGCAAAAAATAGCCCCCCCCCCCCCCACCAGGTCGCGTTATAAACAGACCCCACCAGGGCGCGGGTTAATCACAGTTTTCTACAGGATGTTCGTGTTTGAAGCATGTGACGGTGAGCTGGAAAGTGGGCATCCCGTTGTGATCCTGGATTAGCCCCCGGTTCACCCGGATAAAACACCGACCGTGTCTGTTGTCGGACCGGTCACCTGAGCCCCATTATCCGGTCCGTCCGGTACCAGCGGTGACATCACACTGTGACGTCACTCATCGTCCGATGGATGGGGCCGTGCACGGTGGGCAAGGTCGTCTGCGTGCCGCGCCGGCCGGCCGGCCTCTGGTTTCTGGGTTGTTGTTGTTGTTGTTGTTATCCCCTCCATCCGCGGCAGAGCCGCGGTGTAGCTTCAGCTCTGGAGGGCCCTGAAGGCGGCCACCAGGGCCGCCACCGTGTCGCCGCGCCTGACCTCCTCCACCGTCGGCAGAATGTTGCCGACCGCCGGGATTCTGAGGCGAACCCCCATCAGTCCCGGGCAGGTCAGCAGGATGTGTCGAGGTGTGTCGGCTTGCTCGCCGCACAGCGGGCAACGAGCTGCAGGGCAGTCGAGGTTCCTGCACTGTGGGCAGTCCGCAGATGGGTTTCGTCCGATGGAATGGAGAAACTGCGCCGAGCCGCTCCAGCGCCCAGTGCGGATCTGGTGGACGTCTACTGCTGTCGTCCTGTCCATGTTGGTGAGAGGTGGTGGCCATCTTGCACCCATAAGCTCTCTGTACCACCCCGTTGCGGCTTTGCGGTCGGGGTCCGGGTATGTCGGCCTGTCCCTTGCGGCGCGGTCTCTGGCGGTGCGGACTGCCGCTCGGTAGATGGTGTCTACATCGAGCATGACGTCTTCTTGTGCCAGCGTCGCAGCCTCGTTTGCCAGGGCGTCGGCGGACTCGTGGCGACCCCCTCCGAGCGGTCGCTATGGCTGACCCCCCTCAGCGCCTCAAGCTGGTCACGGGGTGGCGCCAAGTAGGCCGGGAGGCCCTGCGGGAGCTACGGGTCGAGCTGCCGGTTGAGGCCCTGCTACCAGAGCGACCGCCACCGTGGACGCCCACCGGCAAGATCACCTTCAACCTGAGCATTGGCGCGCTGCCCGCCGGTGCGGCGAGGTCCACGAAGAGAGACGCAGCGCTCCATCACCTGGCGTCCATGACGCAGTGCGCGACGTGGGCGTGGACCGACGGCTCGTCGAGCGGCGGGATCCTCCGCGGGGGGCTGGCGCCCTCATCGTCGGAGCTGATGACAGCCGCACCGAGCTCCGTGTCCCAGCGGGCACACTCTGCTCCAGCTTTCGAGCGGAGATGGTCGCCCTGCAGGTGACGCTGGACCACATCCTGGAACACCAGCGGGACGCACCAGAACCAGTCATCATATGTACCGACTCGCTGTCGGCGTTAGCGGCGCTGAGAGAGGGTCCGTCGGCACAGCGCTCGGCCAGAGGCGCTGCTATATGGTTTCTGGGTCGCGGGGCCGGGTCGACCGGTGGGTACTTTATATGTGCCGCATGCAGGTTTTAAGTCGAGCAGGCTATATTGCTCTCAGTCGAGCAGGCTCGATCAGGGGAGTGGGCGCTCGTTTTGGTTGAGGCGTGATTAATGCTGCATTCCACATGTCAGGTAATTTATTTTTAAATGACCTTGACCTTGCATTATGACAACAGCACTCAGCAGCCCATAAGGCACGAGCAATGATCACACCCAAAAGATATTGACCGTTTATAATTTATACCCAACAGAAACGGACCTGTCAAATTCATCAGATAGATAACCGGTCGGGTGGCTCTGGGAACCAGAGACGTGGACCATCGTCATCCACACGCCACGCCACGCGACCGGGGTCATGTGATAGAACAGACCCATCCCCGACAGGGGCCATCTCGGGGAGACAGACCTCGCGAGTCAACTGGTGCTGAGGCCGGTACGGGAGGAGGCGATCTGTCGGGTGCCACTGATGAGGCTGAGTGTTGGAGACAAGATCCTTACATTGAAACAGTGAGATGACTGAGGATAGAAACAGATAACTACTCCTGCCACACAGCAGCTCTCCAGACCGATATATTGGGACACTTGTCCCTGGTATTTTAATCCTGTTCTCACTCTGTTCCTACACCTTATAGGAATGTCACTAATTTTGATTCTGTTCTCATTCTTTTCCTCAGGCTTGTCAACTCATTTCACTTGGATTCACGACCCAGCCTTCTCCCACCGTCGAGCAGACGGTTAAGGAACGGCGTGCGGCCGTCGGTCCTACGTCCCTCGTCCTAAATCTGAACTCTACATCCGCCCAACGTCAAGATTGGTGGTGAGCCTATCGACCTCTTTATCCCTTCCTCGCCGCCCTCCGGACCAAAGATCACAGCGCAGCTTTCCTTTAGTCCGTCATTTGGTCCTATGCCCACGCGTGTATATGATATCGCTATCAGTACGTGTATTTATTTTTATACCGAATATCCATTCATTCACATTTGTGGCTGGGTGACTTCTGAAAGGTCTGATCAAAGGACATTCGGTCCATCAGAACTGCACGGCAACTACCAGCTTTAGTTCATGACCACGCAACTATCAGCTCGGGAACCACTGAATATGGATTGCCACGGCGAGCGTGACTCACTCACGGTCCTCTTCATTTATTCACGGTCACGAGGCAGGACCTGCTCCTTCCTGTTTCCTGTGACAGGGAGTAGTAAACACGTGGTGAAGTGGAGTACTACGTTTACTACGGGATGCTATCTGGGGCAGTGGAAGTCTTCCTGAGTGCAGTGCGGTAGCCCGGGTGAATGGCTGAAAGCGCCTGATCGACGCAGCACCGTATCTGCGCTGACTCTCACCGTACTACGGATTTATCTCACGGTCTCTTATCGTATCTCAGCTCTATTTATCTCACCGTCCATACATCTGCGGAAGGATTTTGCGAATATGATCTTAGATTTTACCATAGTTATTAAACGTTTAAAAGTTAAAAAAAAATAGTTAAAAAGTTTTACCATAGTTTATTAAACGGCTATCGTCCGTTTAATATCCACATAGAAGTAGAAATGGTGCGTCTGACTTAGAACTCAAATCAAGGCATGACTCGTCACTTCTTCAGTCCATTGCGCTCGTTAACTTTCGAGCAGTTGTCTTTTGCTCTGCATTGTGAACTACGAGATGATCTCTGGTGCCGCGCGGCTGTCCGCCAAGTACCCAGCTCGGGGCTGCGGGTATGTCCGACTGACATTCCGTGGCTCGTCTCCAGTCGCCGGCCCGTGTCTGGACTCGGGATGGCTCCCAGCTGTGGCAGCCGCCCGAGACGGGACGACCGGGGGCGGTGCCGCCTGCATGCCAGGACCCCTGCTCTGCCCCCCCCCCCCCCGGCACGCGCCGCTCCGACCTTGTAATTCTACACCGTCCTTCGTACTAGGACCAGCCAAGGTGGCTGGTGGTTTTGGTAATTAATTAGTGTAATGATTTGTATGCATGCATGGCCCATTACGAACTGGTTATTGTTGAGCTCGTGCGTAGTTCGTTGAAGGGAAGTTAAACATGTGTTTTTCCACTCAGCACTGGAATTGTGGAGCTCAAGCTTATTGCAAATGAAATTACTTAGTTGACCATGATAACTACATATTCTTCGTCACGTCGTGCGTGTGACGCCGCGTTACGCTCCACTGACGCTGTGACGTGGAGGGCGAGTGACACTGTAACAGTCCGAAGCAGACAGGCGATCGGGAACGGCCGTTGCGCGTATGTACATATGTATGTGATATTACTGGATACAAACTGAAAACACACGCCTACCATTTCGCAGCAGCGGCTCACCATGTCGCCCACGGGACTCCCACGCAGTCGCGCAGGACCTCCGGAAGAGCCTCCGCCCTCTGACGAGTTCCACGACATCAGTTGGTGAGTCATTTTATGGTACGCGGTAACATGTCCGTCTGCCGACTGGATTGGTGCAGCACAAGTGGCGTGACTTGAGCAAATTTGGCACTTGACTGTGGAGGGGGGGGGGGGGGGGGGGGAGGGGCACGGCAGATATGACGTTGGCGTGGCGTGATACCAGCGACCCAATGCCAGACTGATGCATCAATACACGCCTCGGAGCACATTACGACATGAAGTTGTTGCACCTCCGGTCTGACTTCACTTGGGTCCAGGAACTCAGCTTTGGCCGTGCCTTCCGTCGCTCCGGGGTAGACCAATTCAAACCGGGAATGCGGAACGTCCTGAAGACCGATGGCTCGAATAGCATATGCAATGCGAATGATTGTGCATTTGGAGTGTTTGTGAACTCACTCACCGACAATGCTCCTTTCTTTTACCCTGACTCACATAGGTTCTACCATGGCCTTTGTTGATTCGCCTACTATGGTTTTTGTCCTGATACACCTACTACAGTTTTTGCCCTGATACATGGATGTTTTTTACCCGGATACGCTTACTATGGTATGTGGCGCGTAGCCACCACTACTACCAATGACTGGGCCCGCAGTGACTAACCGGTAGCCGTCCTGTCTGCTTATGCTGCAGCACGTTCTGCGGCACCTCCTCGGCCGGAGACCGTTCGCTCCGACCCCAGCGCCATCCGTCCCTGGTCCTGCGCACCCCACCCCTCCCCTTCGTCTGTCTGTCTAGTGTGTGCCCGCCAGCGGCCCATTATCCCCTCTCACCCAGGGCCGCCTCCCTCTGTTGTCGCCGCCGAGACGTCCCATTCATCGGCCGCCGCGGGGGCGCGTCTCTGACGTCACGGCGAGCCGCGCGCTGATTGGCCGTCGGCGAGTGGGACCACGCGCCCGTGGGGTCACCGCTCCGAACGATGGGATATAGGCGGCGCCGGCCGGCGGCCCGGCCCATTCGGCACAGATAGCCGCGTGCGCCCGCATCAATCAGCGGAGACCACTAGCCATGAAGCAGTCAGGAGTCTGGGCGGTGGCGGTGGTGGCGGCGGCGGTTCTGGCCGCCCCGGCGGCAGCCAACAACTTCCTGGCGGTAGACTACCTCGGCGATGGCGAGCGGGAGACGAGGATCCACTTCGACCGAGTGCACGCCAAGGAAACGGCCATGGAAACCGTCGACGGCAACGTCACGTGAGTATTGGTGGAGGATGAAACACTAACGAATCCTAACCATAGGCCAGATCTGTGTCTGCGACGTTTACTTGGATGACCTGGCTTCTGCATTTCTTGAGATTTTACCTTCTAAACAACATTTTTAAAGATATGAAAGGTGTTCAGTTTCCATAATCATTTTAATTTCTTAGAGAACATTAAGCGCGTTTTATTAATGGCATTTTAATCGTCTCCGTATTTCAGTTGAGACAAGCAAAATAACACGGAACAAAAATGATAGACGAACGTGCTTAGGCTAAATCGCCGTCATCAGCGTTCTCCTTTTAGACGCTGATGACGGCGATTTAGCCGAAACGCGTTTGTGTATTATTTTTGTTCCGTGTTACTCGTCTCCGTGTATACTTGATTTGCATCACATTTTGATTTTGCTTCATTAGCCATTTCTAGTTCGTTTTTGATAGGCACGTGCACCTCTCGGCTATGTCCGACCCTGCTCAGTTCGCTCCATTTCAAATAGTTTGTCAGACACAGACCACTGCCCAGATTTCCCTCGCTGTCCCTCGTTACCTCAGTCCCTCATTACCCTGCTCCCTGGGACGGTAATTTCCCGGTGCGTCCGTCTGGCCTGGCTCGTAGGCCCCGCCCACTGGCATCGTACCACCGTGGCGCGGCGGGAAAGCCGGTCTCTCCTCCCTCCCTCCCTCCCCTCCCCGCTCGCACACCTGTCTGGCCAAAGACCGGTACAGCTGGTCCGGCTGGACAGGTGGCGCCACGTGGAGTCCGGCTCGTGGTGAACGAAAGGCTAACGGCACGAGTGAGCCAACGGCCACCCTCGTTTACCTGTTCTGAAAGTGATAAGAGCATCTGTTACGCGGTATTATCTGTGCTATGTGCAAACAGTCCGGCATTCCAGACCTCCAAAGCCCATTGTTTCCTCGGAATTTAGCGGTTGACGCCCCTTGCATACTGATGAGCTGCTGATTCCCGGACCTCCCCGGAGCGGACCGGCCTCGCCCGGGGCGCTGTCTGTCCTTCCAACCCGTCCGGCGCCGCCGCTGCTGCGGTACGAGCCCGCCGTGTGACCCGACCGCTCCCTGTCTGTTGCAGCCGCGGCCTCCACCTGTGGCAGGTGACCGACGGACGGCACTTCATCCAGTCCATCTTCACGGCCCAGGGCGAGCTCAAGGACTGCGAGTACATCCGCAGGAAGGACGTCATCGGCTCCTTCCTCGAGTCGTTCGACAATGACGTGGAGCGGGCGCGCCTGCTGGCCGCCGACCAGGAATCCGACGGCCAGGAGCAGCTGGACGTGCAGAACCGCATGACGAACGCGACGTTCACGCTGCTGGAGTCTGTGCCCGAGGAGCTGGCCGGCTACCTCGACTACAAGCAGATGAGGCGCATCTGCAAGGAGCAGCACAAGATGATCCGCAAGGTGGCCCACAAGAAGCATCACGGCAACGCGAAGGAGAAGGCGGACGCTGAAGCCTATATCACCAGGTAGGCTGAGTTGACTGTGTGTCGTAGTGGATTTCGGAATTGTGATTAACTCTGGTAATGGGGTATTATGTAACTCATGGTTCAGTATTGAAGTAGTAGTTATCAGCCTGTCTTGAAATTGCTTCATGTATTTCACGGGTAATCTTATCTCACGATCAGCCCGCTTTGAGTTCCTTCACCACTCTTGCGCCTTTTCTATCTGTGATCTATGTGTTTGTGTTGCCCGCTGTTCCATCCCGCTGCCGGTGTGACGCCGGCGGGTGACACTTCAGTGCCACTCGCCGGGGTCTCTGGTAGCGGGACGGGACGGCCACCGTGCCAGCCACGCCCACCGCCTCAGCCACGCCCACCGTCTCAGCCACGCCCACCACCTCAGCCACGCCCACTGCCCTAGCCATGCCCACCGTCCCAGCCTTGCACGCTGATTCCCTCTCCCCTCCCTGGGAAGTGCTTGTCTGCCAGCCAAACGTAAGTTTTCCGGTCGGAAACCGATCCACTGCATGCCAGCCGGCACTGTCGGCGTCGCTTTGGGTGCTAACCGTGTTTTCTTCACCGTTGAGCCGACTGAGTCGCCGTACGGTTCTACCATTATCGGTAGGCAACCGACTTTGGTGTTCACCTAGTTGTTGGGGCTTTAGTGCACGCAGTATTTTGGAGATTGGTTGTAACTCCGGGAAGTGTGGAGTGTTTTTAGGGCTGACTGTGGCTTACAACCGTATTTAAAGTTCGAATTTGGATGCTCACAAACTTTTCAAGTCAAAGAAGATAAGCCCGTTATTCGTCGGGTGTTCAATCCACACAAATTTTATAAGTAAATCCTGGGTGCTGTATCAATTTTTGATTGCATGACATGTACACTATTTTGTGATAGAAATATTGGACCTCCATCCGGCATCTTTCGCACGGAATACCATTCGTCATTTAGTTATCTGGCCTGCAGTCTCGGTTTGGGGGCCACTGGTTTGTCGTGGTCTTCGGCCGGGACGGGCGGTCTCTGTTTGATCACCACTGGTGTATCGTGGCCTGTGGTCCCGGTCGGAGCCTGGGCAGTGGGTTCCACTGGTTTGCTGGTCTCTAGTCTCGGTCTGGGGACCACCGATCTGTCGTGGTCTCCGACCGGTGACCGGCGGTCTCGGTCTAGGGGCGGTAGCTTGTCGGCTCCCGGTTTCGGTCTGGGGACCACTAGTCTGTCGTGGTCCCCGGCCGTTAACTGAGGGTCGGACCGAGTCTGATCAGCGCGGGAAGGCTCCGCAGTCCGCTGAGCGGCCGGCCGGTCGTTACAGGACGAAGCGGGACCTGCAGCTCATCTACCCGGGCACCAAGTGGTGCGGCGACGGCACACTGGCGCAGAGCCGCTCTATGATGGGCGGCCTGCACACGGTCGACCGCTGCTGCCGCTCACACGACTACTGTCCGTACGCGATCCCCGGCCTCAGCGAGAAGTACGGACTGTTCAACTTCCGACTGTTCACCATGTCTCACTGCATCTGCGACCGGAGGTAGGGAGCAGCGGACGCCGCGGGAGGCTGGCTCGCGACGCGACGGTAGGTGGAGTACCACAGCAGGGCAGACAGGCACCTCCCGGGCTATCCTCCCCTCCTCACCCCTCGCCGCCGACTGAGCAGCTCTGTTCCACCGGCTCTCCTAACCCGTTCCTCCACTCGGCTGGCTATCCCCGGTGAGTACCCAGACTGTACCGTGGCATCCCTGGCCGCAGGCACCGGCGCGATCTGCTGGATGTGTTCCGCGTGCCCGGCACCAAGTGGTGCGGCAAGGGCTACACGGCCACCACGTACAGCACGCTGGGCGGCTACGCCGGCGCCGACCGCTGCTGCCGGCACCACGACAAAAAGTGTCCCTACTGGATCGGATCACTCGAGGAGAAGTATGGCCTCTTCAACTGGGGCATCTCCACGCTCAACCACTGCGCGTGCGACGAAAGGTGAGAGGACGGCAGGCGCCTCCAAAACTCCGCGATAGAGTTATGGAGACACTAGTTGGAGCTGGTGTGGCTAGGAGGCCCTACTCTGAACGCTGGCCAGTGGTATGTGCTTTGCTGGTAGGGTTTTTACTGTGGGGAACGTGTTAACGCCGGACCTTTGAACCACAATATTTGCATTGCTGCCCAGTCGGGCGCAGACTGCCCCGCCGGGTAGTAACTCGGGGCGCCGACACCGGGCGGCAACTGGTCGTATCTGGTACAGTACAGAGCCGGCCGGTGTCTGTTTACAAGGCGCCCATGTAGTCCCGAGGTGCCCCCAAATCGGAGGAATCTGTGCCGGCTGGCGGTGACGGACGCCAGACCGCGCCCGGGGCCGTCTCAGGGGGCACATTTCTGGCGTAGTAGCCATCTCTGGGACAAGGTCCGCCCACCCAGTGATGTTGCAGTGCAGAGTTAAAGGTTAATGCTAGGCGGATCGTCTTACTACGCTTTCTTGCAGCCCACAAATAACGTTTGACATAAACGTTTTACCATAGACTTTGGAGCCACTCGCCACACCAAGCTTAGAACACTCTCTCGTATGTTTATCAGCATATTGTTAAATAACGTTTGACATAAACGTTTTACCATAGACTTTGGAGCCACTCGCCACACCAAGCTTAGAACACTCTCTCGTATGTTTATCAGCATATTGTTCCACCACTGATGATACTGACCACTTGTCCTTTCTGCCGCAGGTTCCACACGTGTCTGAAGATGACCGGCTCCGGCGCGGCCAACATGGTCGGCAAGATCTTCTTCAACATCGTGCGCACCAAGTGTTTCGTGCTGAAGAAGCGTACCGAGTGCGTCAAGAGTAGCTGGTGGGGCAACGAGTGCGAGGAGAAGCGGATCGTCAAGCGGGCGGCGCTGAAGGAGGCGCTGCCGTACTGAGCGCGGCGCGCTGGAGGACGGAGAAGATGGAGGACTGGAGGACGGAGAGGCTGGAGGATGTTTCCACGGACGGTCACTAGTCAGACCGCTGACCGCCGGCGGCACCGACAGCCCGGCCCGGGGACGGCTGAACGATCCGCCACGGTGTCTGTCCATCATACAGACGCCCGCCAGGCTCCCTCCCCCACGAGCGGCCCGGTAATATGTCGTACCATCTGACAACAAATGTCCGTGTCCATTTGTTGAAATGTCGATTCAAGTCTGCTACGGCCAAGGCCAAAGCCATGACATGCAATACTGTGATACTCACCTCGTGGCCACTACCCGTTTTCTGAGGCACGCCACGCTGCATGACACTCGTGTAAGCCCCCTAGATGACATTTTGTGTAGACCAGTGTACAGTGACCTATCGCTCGATATGCGGCCCGCGACAAATGCTCAGGAGTGTGTGTAGGTTTTCCGGGTGTCCCGGAACCGCGGACTGCAGTGTGTAGATTGAATGCTTATGTCAGCCCACTGTATCACTTGTCATACTCATTACTGTTTTCATCTAAACATCAAAGGCGCTCACGTTATTTTCGTAGAAAATAGGAAATATAAGCGATACCATTTACGATGAGTTTACGAGACGTGTGTGCGTGTCTGTCTGTGGACGGGAAGGAGGGCCGAGAGGGCTACTCGGTACCATTCGCAATTCCTAGTCAGTCTGTACCGGGTTCACTCACTACGGGGTTAATCACGTGTCGCGCCCACCCGTTACACTAATTACAACGGTTTCACAGCCCAATCATCAGCCCCCGAGCGGATGTGTCGCAACGCGGCGACTGCTGCCGCGGCGCGCGTGTTCGCCCCCGGCGACGGTAGCGGACCCGCCCCGGGCTGGAGCGTGTCTGCCGCACCGGGCAGTGACCGCGGTCGGCAGACGAGGCCACTGGTAGGGCTGTGCGGAGGCAGAGTGGAGACGCGAGATGTGCGGAGTACGGTACCCAAACAACTCACTTATCGCGCAATATCGAGCAGCCTAGTCCACCGTCATATGGCTCTCGTGTGGTCTTGAGCCATTATCGAGCGTCAGGGAGCGAGTAAAAAGTTGAGTTCACAGCGGTAGCTTGGATGGTGTATTGATGGATGTCGTTACACATGATGCATTATATAAGCACACACATTACAAACACTAATGCAAATCCTGCAGTGCAAATAGCTTGACTGTCGTGAATTAGCTAATGAGTAGCATAATTGTGGGTAAATAAGCCACACAAGTCAACAGACACGCGCCACATTCCGAGCAGAACATCCCGATAGTTCCCTCCGGGGCACGGTGGCGACCCGGGGAACACTGCACAGCTCGTGCGCATCACAGACGATTGTTGGTAACACCAGCGGCCGGCGCGGCGCGGGGCAGTGACGCGTCCGACCCACCCACTGCCCCTGGTGACGGCGGGCCGATATGGGTACCCAGTGAACAAACACTGGTAGCTAGAGGCAGCGACACGCGACACTCGACAGGTCACCGTACCGCCCGACACTGGTCGCCAGGGAGGCTGTCTTCCGGCCGAGCCCGAGCCGCCAGTCGGTGGCGAGGTGCCTCCTCTCCTCACCTTACACCAGTATCCCGGCGCCCGGTGACCTGACGCCGCCCATCACAGAACACCTGCTGAAGAAGATCTTCCCGGCCGCGGTGGTTTCCTTCCTCACAACATCGGAGCGGGCGACACCATTCCGGCGAGAGCAGCAACCCTTGCCATCAGGTCGCAGTATAGTTACCTTAGCGGTCCATCCGCGGCTGAGGCGCTCAACGTTACCGTTTTTTCCTCCGCGCGCCCCCGCCGGCAGGCTTGGTGGGCGGCGCATCGGGCACCACTATACTGCCCTCTGCTAGCTCCTGCTGCAGGGACGACGGCTCGGCGGCGATCTTCTGCTGCGCCTCCAGGAAGAACATGAGGTCGCGCACCTGCTCCTTCAGATCCTGCACCTCCTGTGGGCATTCACACAGAGGGAGAATATGTTACACAAACCTCAAATAATTGCACGGCGGGACACATTAGGACGTGTGGGACAGAGACGCACCCACCGTCTAAAGACACAGCCGTCTTGTAAAATAGCATAACACATAGGTGCTTTTACTTCTCCGTTGCCACGATAGTTATCGCGATACCCGATAGTATGCCCGAGAGCGACAACATGATACTGAGCATTACCAAAGGATAACAGCCGCCGCTGTCAAAATGTGATACGTGGTGTTTGGTGATAACATTACATTGTTCTCTCGCAGCCGACTGGTTCTGTGAATGCAGGCCACTCAACTCAGCACCGGACGCGCCGCCCTCGGCGCAGGTCGACACCCCTCCCCTGTAGTTACCGGGGGCCGGCGGAAGGCGGGTCAGTGTGAAGATACATCAGCGCACGGGTCAGCACGTTTCAGTACGTGGGGTAGGATACGGTGAGGGGATCGGTCTAGGAATCATGGTGTCACCAGGTCAGCAGGGGCCACCGGAAGGCCGCACGGTCAGTCTGGGTCAGGTTACTGCGGGTCAGCGGTTCAGGTCAGCGGGGTTCGATGGGGGATGGGTCAGCTAGGGGTTGTCGCCGGGTGGTGTGAGCGCTGGGTCAGCCGTCGCGCCCGTCGGAGACAGGGTGGGCTCGGCTCGGACGGCCGGTGACGGTATCTAAGGAGGCCGACGAGGTGATTGTGCGATCATTCTGGAACGAGTACCATTGCATCAAAGGATGTGTAAGAAATGATTTTCTTTTCACAAACATTCTTCTCTTTTCTTCTTCCCTTCATTTCTAGAATACTCAGAACGAACGGTCTGACATAGGTATCTGGATCGGTCTTGATTATGTTGCATATCTGAACCTGGGCAGCATTCCAATGAAACATTACCAGATCACGACATCTGAATTCTGAAGCAGCCTGAACATGGGCCAAAGTCCAATCACAAACAGTGTTTATCCATGTCTGAACAAGGTCCCGCCTGGACCGGCCACTAACCGCTCTCGGAATCTGTTCGCCGACTTCGTAAACATACATTGACCACTCCTATCTGGCTATATCCAGACGCTGGCACTGGGCCGCATGGAATCCCGCTCGGCATGACAGACCAGCACGGTCTGGTCCCTGGGGACCAGACAGTTTAATCCCAAAGACCAACGGTCCAGGCCCCTACGGACCAGCGAAACGTCCCGATCCAGCGGACCAGGTTGGGACCCGGTTCTTGATGGCTGATGATATGCTCTTGTCAGCCCTTGGCTGTCCAGCCTCCGCATCTTGCCGCGGACCTCAGGCAAAGGGTCCTGACTACTGTCTCGGCGGCTTAGGTAATACGCGTCCCGGTGACGGTCTCTGCCGTATGCATGCAAGCCGTCACAGGCGCTGTAGGCAGTCAGACTGATATAACGCAGACACGGGGCGGCCCCTCCCGACATCTCCAGTAGCTGCCAGTTCAGTGGCGCTGATGAAATGTTTCACAACCGGACAGCTGATGAGCCTGTGTGGATTTTAGGACATCTGGATGCTGGTGTTGAAAAAGTACAGATTTTGGTGCGCTGCGAATTGCGACACAAAAAGCAGGCAACCGAACGCTACATCGTTGCGTATAATAGCTCTAACAAATATATCAAAGACAATACCAAAAAAAGGTAATGTCACTGTATATGCCGTATACCCACACAGTCGAATGCAGTCTCGAAAAACTACAAATCGAACTTCGAAAGAAAAAAGGAAGCGCCTTGTTCAGCAACGATTCGCACCAACCAGACCCAGACCCAGATCCAGACGCAGGCACAGACGCAGCCCCTTGTCGCCACATTCCACACCTCTGTCCACTGACTGTCCAGTTCTGTCGCTCTCCATCTCACCCTGCGCCCTGCAGTGGCAGCACGCACCACAATATACATTATTCAGGGCACAGGCGGCCGGCCGGCCGCCGTTTTTGCTGCTCTCTATGCACACAGCGCACGATGTTTGCGTCGCTCACTACACTCACGTGAGGAGTAAGTGTCACAGACGACGGGCGGGCGTCAGGCCGGTGTTAGATAGAAACCCGATGCCGGCGCCGTGCTGCGTGGATTACACTGTTTGGGGCGGGGCGGGGCGGACCCAGACGGGGAGTGGCCGCGGAACGAGGAACCAGGATGGCATCGGGCAGGGTGCGGAAAACTACAGCGAGGGCTGGGTTAGATTGAGACAGATATTCGGATTAGCACCGAGAAGATATGCAAATTCATCAAAACACGGACGTTGGATGCTGGTCAAAACAAGGCGACTAAGCGACGGGGCTGTCAGTCACCTGCCAGGGCGGAAGGAAAAAAAACGGAGCCTGGAGGCATCCATACCGAGTTAGCAGCACGTGATCAGCCACCGTATCACGCCGTTCGACTCCCTGAATATCACGTGACAAGCGCAGAGAGCTAACAGCTCAAGTCAATGACGGGTTTGTTGATCACGTGAACAAGTACGTGACTAGTGCCAACAGCATGAAGGTCGGTCACGTGACCAGAGGAGAGGGCAGGAAGCTCTGTGGTGGAAGATCGGCCCGAGTTCCATCCCAGCTCGGAAACATCCTACTAATCGGTCGGGAATATCAACCTTGGCATTGTACCAACGCTGAATGGCGGCAAGAGCGATATAAACCATCCGCTTCGGTCACTCAGATCCCTTAACGAAAGACCAAGCACGCAGGGCTCCGCGAACAATCTTTCAATAGACGCAATCACCCCAAGTGAATCGGAGAGGTGACTATCTGGCGATAACTATAACTGATGAGCATACGGACATTATGCGTACATCAGCGAATGTTGGGTTATTCTCAGACAGTTATGGGTAAGGTTCGCCCGCCGATCTCACCTTGTCCTTTTCGCGTTTGATCTCGCCCAGGTTGGTCTCCAGTCGTTTCACGCGATCCTGCCACCCAGTCTGGTTCTCTCGCAGCGACTTGTTGATCTGCTTCTCCTCATCGAGCTCCTTCTGACACCGGTTCAGACGCTGCGTCAACTGCTGAACCTGCGGACAACGACAGAAGCTACGTCAAGTGCTGAACGTGAGGACAACTGCTGAACAGTGAACATGAAGGGCAGACAGTTTAGACGCTGTGTCAACTGCTGGATTCGAGAAAAGACAGAAAGGGTCAGACGCTGCGAAACTGCTGGTCTTGAGGGCAGGGGTAGAGAAATAGGCGCTCGATATCACCTAGGTAGTTATGTTCCTTTTATCACAAATCAAAAAGGAAGGTAGGAAAAATACAGGCCATACCTGTACTATATGCAAGGCTGGAGAAAGTGGGAAAATATCTTTCGAACTTCGCATTGGTGATAAAGTCGCAAAGGTGACATGGCTACTTGGACATCGCACCGGTGAAATGATAGACTGACGTTGAACGAATCGCAAATACAGGGAATTCGGAATATGGCCTGTAAGCAAAGCGGACTTAACAATGCAGAACCGTGCACTCTGCGCGCAGAGCGCAGCTCATACGTTCTACGTCAACAAAAACACATCATTACAAGGCAAAGGCGCAGTTGTTATAACGCTGAAAATCAACATGGTTGAGATGTGTTGATATACGACATATTTTCCGGCAATGCATACTCCGCAAAATCAAATAAAACCACACTTCAGGAACAGCATTGAATGTTTTTATTCGTAATGCGATTCTCCGAATTTATCATAAGAAGGAACTAGAAGGAAACATAACTCAGAGGGAGAGATCACATACGTTGAACATTACATAACCGTACAGCTTTGCCAACGGAAACTTACGGCGGCAATGCGCAGGAACTCATCATTCACCATGACTGTGCTAAACCTCCCTATCCTATGCCTATTGCGATCAACCATTAGCGAGAAGATGGATTGCTCGCGAAACATCCACGTTTGTCATAGAGGCGAAGAATAACTCTGCATCAGAAAAGAAAGCAAACGTAAAAAGTTATATAACCACCAATTCTTTACTTCCCCTGCCCGGCATGGATGACCATCTTGTATGTTTTGATATTCCGCCCGACTATGGGCCTAATGCCAAGGACGCCCTAACATCAAACACGCCACACGGATAAAATGAGGGCACGCCAGACCAAACCGACCCACACACGCACTGGAATAGCTCCGTTCCGCGCGAAACTCATCTCACGAGTACGCTGTATCTCGCCAGCGTCACTGATGGAGCCACGCCATGCGTCACACAGACCACAGTCAGTCACGGGTCAGAGCTACACTAAGGCAGTCCGTCAAGCCCGCGACGCAGCCAATGACGACGCAGACGTCCATGAACACGCCTGTCATGAGGAGGCACAGCTCACATTTAGCCGCTAACGAGTACAATGGAACGCTGGATGGGTATTCTAGGGAGGCGGGACGGAGAGGGAGGCGCGCAGGAGGCAGGGTCATGTTCACATGTGCGCATCGCAAATGATAAACCGCGACGCACCAACTGGCGGACCACGGGCCGGGGCGTGCAGTGTGGTTATGTAAGTACAGAGTAAGCCAGACACAGGTCCTTACTCATAGGTCATTGGAGACACAAGGTCAGCATGACAAGGCATTACAAATCCAGCTCCTCAGTCCTCGGAAGCAATTCAGAATGTTTGATTGCAATAAAGTGCGAACGGCTGCGGTCATTAAACACTTATAGTCGAGTCGACGCGATATTTATGCTCACATATGACTGTCGCATTGGACTGATTCTATCATGATAGGGCCTACCCATGTGTCGGTTAAAAGATCTAGCAAATCGGCGCGGGGTCCGGGCCAACGACCCTGCCGATCCTATAACTATGCCCTGCTGCATTGTGCGACCCCGGCTCTCGACTTTCGAGTTTAAATGGCCTTCGATCAAACAAGTGAAACTGGGGTTAGAATCAAACACTACCATCAACGCATGACCGCCTGCGTATGTTTGTCCTAGTACAGCCATGACCTTTTTTACTATCAGCTCAGCGTATACGTCAAGCACACGCCCCCTTCTGGGGCTCCGCCACGTCCGGCCGACCCACCCACGGAATGCAGAAAAACAAACAAAGTCCGGCGGCAGGACTGGGCGAGACGCCAGAAACGTCTGTAAACGTGCAGAACTGCCCAAAACACGGCTGGATGGAATGCTATCTGAGAGGGCCAGCGATCATGTGAAGTGAAATGTCACGGCGCAATTCCACGTCTGCAGAGCACTTGCAAATCATGGCCCTCGTTAAATCTGTTTTAATCAGCAGCGAAAGTAAAATTACTTGAAACAGGGTAGCTTATTGTTTCGCCGGAACAAGAGATGGCACCTCGGCCACCTCATGGAATTCGCTCACTTTCAAACCGGTGTAGTGGCTTCGTGGGTGAGCGTTTCACATGAGCTATAAAACCATTCAGTCCATAATCATGCACCACCTCGAAAGGACGGAAGGCGGCAGATAAAGTAAGCGCGTTCAATCTTGGCGGTAAGCTATAGCAACGGCGAATAAGTACAAGGCCTGCATGCGCCGAATTGTGTATCTATGACGTCAATGAAGGAATGACACAGCAAGTAAGCCCACCCACACTAAAACATGTTGATACGAGTGACTGTGAAACTGCCGCTTGACTAGGTCCAGTCGCAATGTCATAACATCTCCATTCGAGACCCATATATTCGACGTGAAACAGATAGGGAGAAAGGCGGAAAGGCAGGAAGTTCATTACTACCCATATGCCAAAATTGACCCAGCATAGACCCGTAAACCCAAAATATCATTATCAGCATTTGGTCCGCAATATTCTGGCACTGGATGTGTTACACTGTGTCGGCTGTGCCCGCACGGTGAATGCCCGGGCCTTTGTCCCTCACTTTTTCAACGTCTGTTGACTTTATCAGCTCCCGTGCTCACCTTTTTCTCGGCGGCGGCGCGGTCGCGGCCGGCCTGCTGCACGCGCTCCCGCAGCGTGTGCGTCTCCTCCACCGACTGCCGGGTGCGCTCGCGCAGCTCGTCCGCCTGCTTCTGTCCGTCCTTCTCAATACGGGCGATACACTCCTCGTAGTACTGGCGCTGTGACTGCAGCTGGCTGGTCAGCAGGTACGTGTACTCCAGCTGGATGCCCTCCAGCTTCTCCTCAGAGTCCGCCTAACGGGGGCGAAAGAGGGGACGTACAGTCACAGGGTAGTTGCAGATGTAATTGAGGTCAGTCGTAGCGTTGTCCGCACAGTGACACCTAAGTCGTCTTAGAACAACCGAAGCCAAGTGAGTAAAACGGCCAGGACCAGCATTACACTTAGTGCCCTGTACCCAGACAACTAGTCGGCAGCGGCGCCGCCCGTTCCCAACGCCGGTGCTTACGACGGGTACCCCACTACACCTTCCTGGCCTCACTGACCAGCCGGGACCTAACCGTGTACGTCCGCCCGGGACCAGCCTATGTGCGCCTCAGCCGGCCCCGACTCACGTGTTTGGAGTCGCGCTGTCCGGGCTCTCGTCCGTCCTCCACCTCCACCATCTTGCCGTCCTCCTTGTTCTGTACCAGCCGGTGCACAAAGTTGTCACCCACGTAATCCCAGACGCGCGTGCTGCCCACACGCATCGTATACGTGTGGCCCGTGTCCAGGAAATGACTGAAACAAGGAGCGACAATAAGAATCGCTATAGAGGAGAAGAGAAAGAGAGCGCGAGAGAAAAAGAGAGGAGGGGAGGGAGACCATAGAGATCTATAGAGAACCAGAGATGTATATAAGATCTCTATGAGGGAGACGGGGTGAGGGAGTGCGAGAGATGCCCGAGCTCCGTCGATATGGAAAAGCGACAAGTTACAATGTCGCCCTCTTACATGTTCTAACCGGTCCGACCATTTGTTGAAAAAAAAACACCAGGCGCCAAAAGCCAGATGTCGCTCTCCGCTCAGAGGCACTTTAAGTGCTTGCAAACGTTACATTAAAGGGACCCTTCCACCTTCAACTAAGTTAATGAATTGGCATAAATGTGATGTCCCTTGGCTCGGAACGATCAAAAATGAATATCTACCAAATTTCCCCGAAAAATATTCACTGGTTTTCAAGATTAGATTAGGCTTTTACTTTTGTTTACTTTTGGGATCTCCGCTGTATAGCGACTTATTTGGAAGCAATAATTTGGCAGTCTCGAAGTGCGGTAGACGTTGCGCGCAAAGCAGCGCATACCACCACGTGTTAACGATGGTTTTATTTAGTCTAAGATTTAAAAATCGTTAGATCTCCGCTGACGTCACAAATTCTAAGGGGGCATTCCAATGCATTAGCCCCTTAGAATCCGAAAACTGCAAGTTTGAAATTCCATATCTCCGAATTAAAGCATTTTTCGATGTTGTGAGTGCCCAAACCGGTAATTTCAGGCCATGGCCACCAATTTGGCTATCTCAACTCAAAACTAATGTTAAGGTGGGAGGGTCACTTTAAGCGCTAACGATATTACATATGACAGTCAAGATACAACTAAAGCGCGCCACCTCGCCTCCCCCCGTCCCCTACCTCCACCGTAACAACGTGTCAGCCAAACTCTTTTCCCACAGTTGTCCCGTGAAGCCCGCCGCCCGCCCCCAGCGACTGACCTGTAGGCGTGCCCTCCGACGTAGCGTCCGCAGCCGACGTGGCCGCAGATCAGGCAGATCCACAGACTGTCGCTGGCCTGGCACTCGAAGCAGAAGTTATCCTCGGCCTGCTCCGGGGTCTGCACGTACCGGCACACCGGACAGCTGCGGAAGGGTGGGGCGGGAGAGGTCAGCGGGTCCGTACCTTATTGAGAATAATGAAACTAGGCATCAAACAAAGCTTATACTGAATTGTTACCTTTTATCAAACGACTCAGTAAAACTGTAGAAAATTGTGAATTATTGTGAAAATGGTAAAATACGCATATGCCCATATTTGACCTATTTTACAATAAAAGTTTTACATTGCTGCCATGTTATTGATCATTTTTGCATATGTATATCTATTCATCATAGCAAAAAGCACCATCTCACATATTCAAAATCGCAAAAGTAGCTGCAGCTTTTGCAGTTTTACTGAAAAGTACACAGCTGCAGAGCAAGATTTACATTCATGCCAGAAAAGCATCGAACCAGTATGACATTCTGCAGAAGAACATTGCTTTTATCTTTTCTCCCTAAGCAAGCCTCCAACAGCTCCTTCAACCAAAGATACCCACTCCCGCCCAGACAATGACTCATTGCATGTACCATCTAGGCAATCCTGCACTCCCGCCTGAGGCATGAAGCCCGCGCGTTGATGTAACCCGTCTTCTAATTACATCCCGACGAACGCACATTATCTGCCCCAAATGTAACACAGCTGTATGAGCCGCGTCCTCAGCACTGCCCGACTGACCTGGTGTCTCCCCACTGGCTGAGGCAGCTGCCGTGGAACGTGTGGTTACAGAGCACGGTCAGAATGCCGTCCACCGACTCATCCATCCGCTCCAAACATACCGGACACGTGGGCAGCTCCGTGAATCCTGGCGACAGACGCGGACAGACGGGACGTCAGTGGGGGGCGCTAGTGGAGATCAGGGAGGGGCTAGTTCGGTAAAAACACTGGCTGATCGTGCACATTGAGTGGAAAATGGTACTCCGACGGACCTGATCGACATAACTGTACTTGTGTCCGCTTACGACAGTATCGAGTGTCCACCTCCACAGACCAGCAGTACCCACGTCCTCCATTAATTACCCCTGATCAATCTACATACATGGTATGGGCAGCCGCGCCTCCCATCTTACCTGGTATGGTCAATCCCGCCTCCCATCTTACCTGGTATGGGCAGCCGTGCCTCGTCGGATTCGTTGACCAGGTCCACGCGCGACACGTACACCAGGTGGCACGTCTCCGGCTCCAGGCTGTTGTACGCCACGCCGTTAAAGTTGCGGTAAAACTCGTCAGCCGCCGCCTGACGACACAGTGCGGAAGGACACCAGTGTGGTTACATGTTACACAAGGCTGGATGCCATGGTGGGCTACAGGGTCACACTAAACGGCGCTCCAGGGTGGCACAGCCCCACCAGGGGTACTCAGACAGAGCTGTAGCCTGCAGGTCGGCGGGTAGGGGCGTCCAGCGTGCCTCAAATCTACCGTAACAAACAGGCAGCAGCGTCGCACTCGTATGTTGTCATCCCCCCCCCCCCCCAACTATCAAGTTCATCTCTTCTGCCCACGACATTTGCTGCTTATATACTTATATTCATATGGTGTCAAATTCGAATCCACTCATCTCTTTTCTACCCCATTCCACTCTGCCATTCGTTCCTCCCCTCCTAACCCACCTGTGTTTTGAACTTGAGCAGCACCATGTACTGGTTGGGCGTGCTGTCGCGAATGATACGCATCCGTTCAATGTCCGGATAGCAGGCGGCCGTGAACTGCAGCAGGTCGTGGATGGCCATCTTGGCCGGCACCGACATCATACAGATCATCTCTGAACGTTCCGTCCCCTCCTCCAGGCTGGTCATCGCGCTGAGGGCGGACTGAGGCTGTCAGCGACGTCCGAGACCAGAAACATGCCGCCATAGACTCATGATAGACCGTAGGGTACAGGGTTCAGTGGAGAGGACGCAGCAGATGGCATAAAATCTGTTGGGTCTGTCATCTGACCGCACCTAAGCCGTAATAAAGTGGAACATTTGAACTATGAGTTCAATACAAATTGATACTTACTGGGTTTAGAAAGCTATACATATATTATGGTACATTACACAATATATTGATGAGACACTCACTTCTCCTTGTAAAGATGCAGCAGTCCCTTGGTAACCTCCACAAAGGGGTTTCCGGAGATGAACGGCTTCTGTTCGAGCGCCGGCTCGTCGGCCGGAGTGCCCTCCTTGCTGGGCCGCGGCGGCAGCGACGGCTCCCGGCCGGATTTGACCAGCTCCGCGTACGAGACCGCCCTGCCGGACGGACCCATGACCATGTCGCCGTCGGGCGGCGCGCGGTCGCGCTCCCAGCGGCGCGCCCCGCCCTCCGCCGACAGTGTGTCCGGGGAGGCGCCCGCCGAGCCGCCGCCGGCAGCCACTGGCGGCGTGGCGCCCCGCGAGGCCGCCGAGCCGGGGCTGGTGCCAGAGGGGCCTGCCGTGGCCGCCGAGCCGGGGCTGGTGCCCGAGGGGCCCGCCGTGGCCGCCGGCGGGGTGGCTCCTCGAGAGGCCGAGCCGGGGCTGGAGCCCGAGGCGCCGGCAGCCGCAGCTCTGGTGGAAGCTGCAGACGGTGGAGGCGTGGCTCCCTGCTGAGAGGCAGCTCCAGCCGCGGCCCCCGCCTGCACCTGTCCAGCCGAGCCCGCCGTGCCGGCGCCGGCGGCCGCGCCCTCCACCAGCCTCGGCATCACCGTTTCCACGGTGACGGGCCCCATCACGCGCCGGTCGTGCTGCCACCGCATCGGCCGTCTGCCCTGGCCGGACTCGGCATCTCCCGCACAGCTGCCAGACGACATTTTGGACAGCTTCGGGGCTGAAATGTGCAAACAGAGGCATGCCTATCAGCTGAACAGCTACCCTTTAAACATTCATTCACAAGCAAGGGTCTCATTGCTCATACATCACATAGTTTAGCTGATAAGTGAGCCCACATTGTTGATCCCCTGCTATGAATATTGAGTGCAAAGAACCCCTTTGACCACCACTCAAAATTAGCCTCTGGACATTTTCAGCTTCCAGGTAAACTTCCAGGTCAATATTCATCTCAAATCTCTTCCCACCACAGCAAGACTCATCACAAGGGCCAACAGGTTTGACCCTTAGATGTTTGACACATGTTTGACCCTTAGATAATTCATTCTGTATGTCTTTTAGCCATGAGGCATAAACCTGTATCACAAATTTGGGGTCAATTTACATGATTATATAAGTACCTCCTGCTCCAAAGACTGGAGACCTTAACTAGCCCCATGTGACCCATAATGACCCCTGTGAACCAGAGTGATCTGTGTGATCTCAAATTAGGTCACCCTTAGCACAGATGGTCCTGTATTGTATTTGTATTGCATTTGTATTTACATTCAAGAGCAGTCCACATACAAAATGTGTGGCAATTACTGCTCATATCCTGTCCTGGGCTTAAGGGCTAGAGCAAAAAATAAGTCACATAACTTCATAAGGTTAGCCCATGTTAAACTCAGGAATCATGTGATTCTAGAAGAATGGCACAATGATAGGCAGCTACCAAAAAGTCTGGCAATGACAGTGTCTGAACAGTCCACAATCTTTTTCAATATTGTAGGTACGTTATCAAAAACATCTCTGCATATGCTTTCACTTTGAAACCTTCAGCCCTGGTCAATGAAGGTTTGATAATCCTGCCATGTTAATGAGCCTTGACCACACAAGAAAATAGCTTTTAACTCTGGTTTCACCATAAGCCAACCAGCAAACATTGAAACAGACAATGAGCCACACCAGCAGGCAGAGGGTGACAACAACCCACAGCAAACATCAGTTGGGGAAACTACGAGGCGAATGTCAAAAAATTGATTGGTCAATAAATGGACTTTTGATGACCATATATGGGCATAAATGCAGCCCCCGCTACTAAGGGTGAAAAACGGTATAACAAGCCGGTACTTGCGGTATCGCGTCCACTTATTGGAGAGAAAAGGCTTCCATTTTTCACTAGGAATTAGCGTGATTTGATTAAATTCGGCGAATTGACTCGAAAATGGCGATAGGAAAACAGCTTTTCTGCAGGTTCTGGGCGTCACAATCAGCTGGCCATTCAATAAATGGATTGGTTTTATGAAAGAAAATTTTTTAAAGATATAATTTAACTACAATAAACAAAAATATTTAATTCTAAAATAATAACTTAACCACAATTAGAAAAACCATAATCAAAATAATAAAAATAATGACATTTTTAAACCATGGAACTGCTTACATTTTTTGGCGCGTCTGTTTCAATCTGCCATATTTGCCAATCACGGTTTGACCTTGCGTTGTAACTCTGCGATTTAGAGCCGCCAGTTAATTATGCACCGGGTGAGTGTAGGTCTTGTGTGGTTAAAAAACATTCTTATGCCTTATTTTTTCATTTGAATGCTAAAATTCATTGAAAAGATGAAGTTGTCTGATTTTATGACCATATATGGTCATCGCCCCGCCCACTCCAGCCGCTGATTGGCTAATCCAATTTTTGTTTGGCTCCTCGTAGTTTCCCCAACTGACATAGGCTTACATTGACACCATGTAAATTTGAAGCCCATGCTTTTGAAAGGCAGAAAATGTTAGAAAAAAGAGTTGCTAATACTTTTGCTAGGCTAGTCATGATTTTGATACAACAGCATTATGCGTCAAGTTGTCAAAGTGATCAACCATAATGCCACTTTGAGTAGATACCTACATCATCATTGAATAATCCATAGGTGGGTTAAAAAACTTACCAATATACTCTTCAAAGCCAATAGGGGTGAGGCCACTTGCAATTTCAAGCCTAAATGCACACAATGAGACAGACATAACAATAACCCATTAAAAGGCTGGAGAGAGTAAAGCGAGTTCAAATGTCAGCGGTTCCCTGCAAGAAAGCTCTGTTGAATTCTTGCTATAAGGTCTCCATCAGCATTCGATAAAGCGCACGAAATTCAGATAACAGATTCAACCAGCGACACAATGGACTAAAAAATATATCTGTAGGAATCTTGAAAAAATCAACCAACTCCCACATAGACACGGACGCGGGAATGAAACGATGTCCTACAAACAAAGGAAATCACTTTATGCACCTTTACTTAGTGGAATTTCAAACTTGAAAAATGGTTGTTTCCTGCCTTATCACGTCTCAAATATTCATTTGATCCATGAATTAATGAATTTAATCATTTACATCAAATGCATTACATATTTCGAATGAAATCGTGTTTTACTGAGATACCGCTTTTGAAAAGAAAAGCTAAATAAATCTTTCTCGAGTTTGAAGGAATTTTTTATTTGTAATTGGTAGCTTTTAACGGTTCAATAATAGCGCTTCTGTTACGAACATGTGAGAGGATGGTGGCACTAAATTATAATCATCAGAGGGCAATATAATTGGGCATTGTCTCATCCACTCAAGGTCTTTATTTCTATGCACTCAAGGCATTTAACGATAGCTTCAATTGCCTACAGGTTAATCAAAATATTCACTCACGACAACCTGTCCATATCAATTCATTGGACGGTCCTATTCGCCGGGTAGTTCTCGGCGGTTAGCCGATCGAACCACAAGGGAAGATTCGGGCATTTCTTTCACCATGAAGCGAAACGTGGGCACTATGTAGCATTCGGCTTACCCTCTCCCTACCCTATAACCACGGTCCACGCGAGAGAAATAACTCACAATTATCCCATGGCTACTGTCGCATGACTAGGCCTTCATAAAAGTTAAAACGAGCAACTGTCAACAAGACTTGCGCTGAGGTATTCAACTTTATTTGACACCCAGACACGGGATCAACAAACGGCGGAGCGAGTGGGCCGACCTGGACTGAACTGAAGACGGAGCGCTATCCGGCTGCTATCATTATCAGCCTGCTGCCGCTTCCACCAAATGTAGAAGTGATTTGCTGGCGTTTCCCGTCCTATTGATGGTGAATAGGTGATATCCACCAATGAGAAACCGAGAAACGCTAGCAAACCGGCAGCATGCTGATAAAGGACGGCGACCAATAGCGCCCAGACCTAGGCTAACATACATAGTACACAGTCGGGCAGCTGGCTCGCACACGATCCGCCGCCTGCCCGCCTCACGCGGCAACAATAAAGACGCCCCAGAGCATGATTTTCCCAACAAGGGAGTAGCACCACAGCCGGACTGTTTGTTTTTCCACCCACCAAGAACCGGACGGCGCGAGAGTCGCGCGAGCAGCCCGCGCCTATGGATCCGATACGGAAGCCTGCGGCGGCGGCCACCCAGCCCAGAGCGGAGGAGCCGCGGTCGGGCGGCCCAATAGCGGGCCCATCCGGCCGACCACCGAGCACGGACGGCACACCAACAGTGGCCGGCTGCACCGAGAAAGCTCACGTTCATAAAATATACAGGGAGCCGCGCGGCAGACGGCACGGCGCCGCGTTTGGCTGCCTCGGATGGATCTGTCGTAATACACACACACGGACAGAGACAGAGACGGCAAGACGCTGGCGGCGTTACAAGGCACCCGGGGCGCGCGAGGGGCGCGGCGCCGCGGTACGGGGACGCGGGCGGGCCGCGTCCTCCATACCGCGGATACCACGCGGTACCGTCAGCACGACAGGAGCCGGTCGAGACCGTCCTACCCCGCCACCGCACACACTCAGAGCGGACAGCACATTCACACTGAGTGTCGGACACGTCGGCTCATACACAGCCACACGCACACAATGAACAAAGCACAAACATTTGGTGTTTCCGCGTCCATTTCTTTGTGGTATTTTGGTACAGCTGCAGCACTATTGGTATCAAATGAGCTCATATCACGTAAACAATAACCAAATATCGTCAAATATGGGCACACATTGAGATGTTTTATCCCAAGGAGACATTAGCTAGTGCTGTAGAGCGAAACATATACCCTGGCGTCGACTAGTGGCCTTATAGGCTATTACTTTGGACATAGATTTCCAGCATTTAATCCCAAAAACAAATCATGCTACCATCACCTTGCATACAAACACCATTGTTTCGTGAGCATCGGACGCAAGATTATCACTGGAAAATAACAATTTTTACTACAATAGTATTCCATCGCGGGAAGCGCATGGTTCTACGCAGATCACACAAATCAGACCGATGTTTGGTATGAGCTCTTATGAACGGCATTCCGAGGCACGCTTTTAACCAATGGATTTGACGTAACTTCCACTGAGCGTCACAGAAACGGCGACCAGTCAGCGCAGGCAACGACCGTGCCCAGCAGCCACACAGCCTTTAAAAGTACGACACCGCCCGACTCACGCCTCTCACCACACACACAAGGAAGCGTTAAAATAGTTCGGCTCTTCCCTTACACGATTACGGATGAGCCCCAGCGGTGGCGCCCAGCTGACACCTTCGACGGGCGCCATCGGACGGTACCAGCCACACAGCAATACTCCGATAGCGTTATACATCGGCAAAGGCATCACCCATCAGAACAGTAGGCCGAATGCCTCGCCAGAAAAATAGCATCGGACAAGCGTGAGAGATTTTGGTCTGCCAACTCCTAGACGCCATGCTTTTATTGTCATCCCGCATCCCCCGGCGCGGCGAAGGACTTCACGTCCGTTCACAAAGGACAGTAGGTATCAGCGGTATAATAGCTGTGATGCGTCCGACACGCCTGCCTCAGAGAGTCGTGCATCAGTGACGCCGTCGGAAGGGCCCACTTCATGAACGAGGGCGAAAGAGCGCCACCACCCGAAATCGTAATGTGCGATGCATTGATGAAAGATAGGTACATTTTTGTCGCGTGTGAATGAATTATACCAGAAGGTCAGGATTTCCCTTTCGTAATAAGATACTGCTATCCCTCCCTCTCGACATAAAGAAGGAAGAGCCCGATCATATCGGATCACTCCAGTAGCTGCTGAGTGATGAACATAGCGGGCTACACCACACCACTTGCTCCAGTTACTATGGGAGGTCCGAGCGACCCACGAACCACGATCACACTTACTCCAATAGCTGGGGGATGTCCTCGGGTCCCCCATCCGTCTCACTCCAGTAGCTGCGTGAAGTCGACACTGTGCGGCGCCATGTCCTCGCCCGCCTTCCTCCGCTCCTGCAGGCGGCGCTGGCGGGCGTCCGCCACGCGGCGGCGCACGCGCTTGATGTGCCGCAGCCGCTCGAGCCAGTTGGAGGCGTACGGGTCGGGTCCGGCCACACCGCGCTGCTGGATCAGAGAGGCCAGGTTGGCGTGCAGCGCCAGCTGGCGGGCCATGGCCGCCACGTTCTGGTCCGAGACGAGCGTCACCTCCGTGTGACCGAACAGCTCCTGTGGCACGGCGGGGCGGCGGCCGTCAGTGGGCAGCGTGACTGACCGGGCGGCTGGAGAGGCGGCTCCGGGTGCACGGATAGCCATCGGGGAGGGGGGGGGGGGGGTGGCGGGAGTGAAACAATAGCCTGCAAAAAGAAAGCGATATCATGACGTGGGTATACAAACTCCACATGATGAACACAAGGACCTTCTAAAACGTTACACATTTTCATGCACAAGCTCACAATAAGCATTTGGGTTTTGCTTTCAGTCATTGGAACTCATTTCAACGAAACGCACATCAATTCTGCCCTCTGACATTGAGGCCCTCGTCGACTGACGCCTGACCTCGCCGCCGCCCCACTGACCTGCAGTTTTCCCTTGGTGGTGACGACGATACGGTTGGTACCGTGGTCCAACGGCTCGACCACCACGCCGGCGTAGCAGAACTGCGCTCGGATCGAGGTGATGTTGAACGGCTGGCCCGACTCGTTGTACACAATCAGCACAAAGTCGTTGCCGATGTGCATCTTCTTGTTGTTGCAGCGCTCGTCGACAGTGGGCATCATGGTGGCCACATGGAACAGCACCTGAGGGGCAGATGGGGCAGGCAGTGAGCAATCAGACTGCCCGTGTCCCATAAAAGAGCACCCGAGGGAGGACAGTCAGAATGATTACTACCATGAATGGCCAGTTCCGATGGAACAACACATGAGGGAAAGTAAGGCAGGGAACAGAACGTTAAGCGGGCTACGGCATCGCCGCGGCCTACTCCGCTGGGAAACGGGACCTCTGCGGCTACTCCTAACGATCCCCGTTCTCTACCTCACGCATCCGATACTTATTTCGCGTAACCGGCACCTGAATCTCCGATCACCCACCTTAGACCGCTCTGACCCCCAGTTACCCGACACATGCCGCCCACACGACTCATCCGCTCCCTTACCCGCCTCAGACCACCACCCGTTACCCGCCTCAGACCACCCCCCGTTACCCGCCTCAGACCACCACCCGTTACCCGCCTCAGACCATCCCCCGTTACCCGCCTCAAACCCTCACCCGTTACCTGCATCAGGTCGTCCTCCCACATAATGGCGAAGCGGCCGTCTGAGCGCTTCTCGGACCGGTCCAGGCCGGCCAGGAACGTCTTCTTCGGGTGGGCCTCAGTCAGCTCCACCAGGTGGCCGAGACCCTGTCGGTGCCGCAGCGACTCAGTGAACGGCTACTCTCAGACACTCAGGCGATACAGTTAGACCCACAACTTAACAATTGCTGACATTGGGGCACGAGTGTTGCGTTCAATACTAACAGCTCATGCTGCAAGAGCTGCAAATTCGTGGCATCATCCGCAGCACGGAAAAGGTGCTAAGTACACAATTGTAGATAAAAGACAGCTGAAAGGATGAAGGACGCAAGTTTAGATACTAGAAACATTTTTATCCAAAGTTCTGCAAAGAATTTATGTTATGATTCACTCCAACGCAACATGTTAACACCGTGGTAAGCACAAGACTACCGTATCTACTCACAGCCATCTACCCACTGCTAGGCCGCCAGCCCGGCGCCGTCTCTCACCTTGAGGAACTGATTATATCGGGTCGAGCCACACTGGTTTCGCAGGATGGCCGGCTCGTCGCCCGCCTGGCCGGCGCCCACGTACAGCACACCGATCTTGTGCGTCTCCATGGGAGTGATCCTATCGAACACGGCCAGCGTGCGCTCGGTCTCCGGACCGTTCTCCAGCAGCAGGACGTCGCAGTTGGCGGGCGCCGGCTCCGGGTACGGCTCGCGGGCGTCCAGCTCGGGACTGTGGAACAGCTGCAGCAGCACCTGTTCGGGCAGCAGGCCCAGTCGGCCGTCCTCGCCCAGCCCGTCCGCGGGCGGAGCGCGCCGCGTCGGCGACATGACGGAGATAGTGTGACTCCGGTCACGACCCAGACGGGGGGACGACTGCGGCGGCATCTGCGGAGGGTAGGGAATAAGGGCGTCAGTTGGCAGAGGACGACCCACCGATCACACAGTGTGGAGTAAACGAGTACACCATCGCGGTGCAACAGCTAGCCAATGACGGCCGCGTGACGGGAATACAACTGCAGAATGAATACTCCTTTTTGATGTCAGTGAAGACGAAGTTCTTAAAAGTGCCGTGTTAAAAAAACGTCCAGCCTACTGAATCACTCGTGAGCAGCACTGATACAAGAGGGGAAATGAAGGGGAAAATGAGCATTGCACGTGTCAGTAGCAAAAACGGTGACGGATGATATTTTAGGGCACCCGATACGAGTGTCTTTACACATTTACGTGCGTTATGCAGGTGATCATTTACAATGTCGGAGGGATGCCAGTCCAGTTATCATGTGCTAACACGGAGCAGGCTGTGGAAAGCATTACTGCGCGGCAGCGGAGCGTCTGTGCCGCAGGGCACCCATGCACGGCGGCACAGTCTATCAGGCCAGCACACTGCACTCTCAAAACCGGCACACTCAATTCACACTGGGAAATTAATTGCCGTCGCTAACACGACAAACGGACTGTGGTTGCCATAGGTGGAAAGGGAAACACAAAGTTTGACACGATATTTACAAGACATAAGCAATACATTCTAGGTGAAATCAGGAAACAAACGTGCAGGAATGCAGAGTTGCGTAGCAAGCGAAAACTTACCGACTGAAACAGCCACTGCATCCGAAAACGGCAGAAAAGCGACAACATGTCAGTCGATCATGACTACTATGACACCTCAAATAACCGAAATGCACTCTCTCAACGGCTACCTCTCAACCAAAACCACAAGCTACCTCTCAACCAGCACCACGCCGCGATAAGACTCATCACTCATCAGCAATTCTCGGTCAGACCGAGTCACACAGAGTCACAGAGACTAGCGTCAGAGACCGTGGACGGGAGGTCGTCGGAGTCGGCCTCGGGCGGCGAGCCGCACAGAGACGAGGCGCAGAAGTGACGCAGCTGACGAGGGATCTGTCAAACAGTGAGGGGACACTGACAGACCACTCCGCCCGCTTAGTGCAGCTCCACGATGGTTAGTATTCCCTGAGTCGCCCGGAACACTGTATTGGATAGGAGGGGGAGGGGGGGGGGGGCTTACTCGGCCTAACCGAGATAGAAAAGGGAGTCGAAGGGCTTGTAACAAGCTTGAGAAAATATTATAAAAATATGGCTATATAGTTATAAGTCATGTGCTGCCGTCCAAAGGCAAAACCGCATATGTCGGGTCAGGTCATGACCCGACATATGCGTTTTTGCCTTTGGACGGCAGTGTGGTAAAGCACAAGACACACACCATATCTGACACAGGATTCAAAGATTCCATTAAAAACGGTAATATCCACCACATATGCAACCAGGTGCAGAATATAAGGCATTGAGCACTGAGCATAGAGCTGGAAGAATCAGCACGTCGACGTGTTACTAGAAACTTGGTACGCCATCAGGAGGAAAAAGTGCCAATAAGCCTGCCTCGTCATATTCTCCCCTCCTTGCCCGCTCTGCAGTGTTCCATTTTTCAGACTTTTTGGTGGCAAATCGCACCTAATGGGGAAAACATTTTCATCCCTAAAATTTGAATGACCGACTTTACTTCATCTCTGAAAAAGTTTCATATAGTCCCAACAGTCAGTTTACATGTCACTTGACAGTTGATGAACCCACATCCTTTTGTTTCACACCCTGTCAAGATCCTGGCATGAAATCCTGGTTTATCAGTTGGCATAAAAATTGGCATTACACCATTTTGCAAAAATACTTCAGTTATTTACTTCCTTTTTTCTCACACTAGGATTTTTTTCTTCATCGGCACACCCAACCAATATCCAATTTTAGAACACTGCCGCTCTGTCCCGTCCTTGTCTCACCCACCTGGCTGCCGGAGACGGATTTGAAGAGGCTGTGTCGGCGCGTCTCGCCGCTGCGGGTGCGGGACAGCGGCAGCAGGCGCCGCGGGCCGCCACCCTCGTCGGGGGTCTCTCCGGCGCCGTCGCCGTCCTCCTGGATGATGCTGATCTCGGGCGGCGCCGGAGGGGAGACGGGAGCAGAGGCCGGCGGGGAGGTGGCGCTCTCAGCCGGGGACTCGGTCTGTGGAGACAGACGGACAGAGAGGGACAGTCAGATGTGTCTGATGATGGGCTAGAGCACCAGCTGGAGAAATGGCCGGGAAATAATCACACCATTTGGTTTCAACAGTAACAATGCGTTACAAGTATTTCAATGCGATTCTAAGCCGTAAAAAGTCACAAAAAGTTGGATATAAAAAGCCAGTTCCAACACATCTCCAAAAAGAACGGTAAAATGTCAACACCCTCAACCTTGACCGAAACCATCCTTATCTACCTGCCCTCTAAATCACTCCTATGTACTACTCCTCCTCCCCCTCCCCTCCTCCGCCACCCGATATCCCCATCCCCTCCTCACTGTCCGGTCGTTACGCCCCGTCTGACCTGTTTGAGGAGTTTCTCCATGGTCTGGTCGGCCGTGCCGGGCGCGATCAGGGACAGCAGGTCGGGCAGCGGCAGCTCATCCGAATCCACCAGCTGCCGGTTCTCCAGCCGCGTCATCCAGGCCATGTTACCCGAGGGCCGGCGGACGAGCACCTCGGCCCAGCCCTGGCACCAGCAGCTGCACAGCCGACCGCCGCCGGGGCCGGCGCCCGTGCCCTGCAGGCCAGAGTCGTACTGGATACAAGACTGCAGGCTTACGACTAACTTAGCATCATCACATCGTAACAGTGGTCCATTGAATCCCGCAGATAATTTCATTCGAATTACCACTGTCCCTGTGCCAATGACTATATAAATGACAAAACAGCAACGCTGCTTATGCATAACGATTATGGTGATTTCCAAACCTTCCGGTTCCCATCCTTTCCCTCACTATAATTCTGCAACACTTACCGGCGAGTTCGGCTGATCCCCGGCGGCCGCGGCGGCGGCTGCGGCGGCGGCCCGCACCTTCAGCTGCGAGTCGTCTCGGAGGGGCGGCGACTCGGCCACGGGCGCGCCGCGGCCCACCGGTGTGGAGATGTGTCGCCGGCGCACCTCGAGCGGCGCGCTCGGCGCCGCCGGCGGCTGCGGCTGCGGCTGGGGCGTGTCCGGCTCCGGCGGCGGGCTGGTGGGCGTGTCGTCAGTGAGGCCAGCGCAGCAGAGGTTGTAGCAGCGCTCGCAGAGGGCGCGCCGGAACACGGTGCCGCCGCAGCCGCCGACAGTGATGGTCACCAGCCGGTTACCGATCACCCAGGTGTTACTCAGGCCGCCGGCCAGCAGGAGCTCCATCACTGCCGTACGCTCGGGCAGCACGGCAAAGTTGGCGCCCGTGTAGCGCGACATGAGGTCGACACAGGTCTCTGTGAGCTCGCGGTGGAACTTGATGAGCTCCTCGGTGACGGGTATGGGTGGCGGAGGAGGCGGCGGCGGTGGACCCCCGCCGACGGCCAGCGAGCCGCGCCGACCGCCCGGATCTGGCGGCGTCTCCTGGGCGCGCCGCGAGAGCGAGAACGTGCGCGTCTCGCGGCCGCGCGCCTGGCTGGCGCGGTCCGACAGACTGGACGATCTGCGGACGGGGACGTCACTGGTTAGGAGACAGCAACAGCGGGCCGCCGCTGGTTACGAGACAACAGAGTTAGGACATGGTTAACTGGTTAGGTTAACCAACTGGTTAGGAGATACACAATAGCCACGGCAGACAGCTCACTGAGCAGTGCGGCGGGATGACACCACAATGAAAAATGGAATGCTTGAAGTTGATTTGGGTTATTCCCAGATCTGCCACGTTTTGATAAAGGTATGGTACCCACAAACCATTACAGATCTGCGATAAACAGCGAAAATCCCTTCGGCTCTACAAAGATGAACTCCAAAGTCCAGCCTCCCCGACACGTCGTCCCAATGATCCAACAGCACTCCATTCTTACCTGCGACGGTTGCTGGAGTCTTCGTTGTCCGCTGCCTGCTTGCTGGCCTGCTGCTGCCTCAGCAGCTCCTGGATGCTGCTGAAGTTGGTCTTCAGGCCTTTGATGATGTATTTGACGACTCCTCTGCGGTACTTGACCCGACACTTGAGGAACCACATCGCGATGACGTGGTGTGCCAGCGATACAATGTAGTGGTTGAATTTGGCTGGGTTCGTGTACGGAAGAACGATCGCGAAGATGGACATGTACTTTTCTTCATTAAAGCACGAGTACACTTTGGGGATGCGGATCAGCGTCGAGATAAACTCCAGCACCGAGTTTCCCATCGCCACCGTCGCAGACAGCTTGGACATACCGAAGAGCACGTCGTGTATGACTTTGGCCATGGCCTCTCGCATACCGAGGGCGCAGACGGTCAGCGCGGTCATACACTGCGGGGCGCAGCGGGAGCGCAGGCCGCTCTCCAGACTGCCGATCAGCCGCCGGTGCATGGGCATGCTCATGTGTCCGTGGTAGGAGGTGAGCGACACCAGGATCGGGTACACCAGCGACTGCAGGTCGGACGTCTTCACATCAGCCGGCACGTTCACCAGCCGCGAGCAGAGCGCCGGCGTGATGTCCGCCGTCAGCTGGCACATGGCCTGCGCGAAGTAGTCCACGTCAGCGCCGTGTTCGCTCACCACCAGCGCCTTGTTCTCGAGCAGTCGCGGCACGCGGCGCAGCAGCTCTGAGAGCAGCGCAAAGTCGCGCTCGTGGCGCAGCGCGCTGATCACCGTCAGACACACGCCGGCCAGGCTGACGCGCGTCTCCGACGGGCCGAGTTTGTGCGGGGCGCCGTCGGTCGCTGCCGGCGCCGGTCCGCCCGCCGGCGCGTCGGCGTTCCTCTGCTCGGCCAGCAGGTGCGGGCTGAACCTGACCACTCCAGTGGCCGGGTCGGGCAGACCGATCTGCTCCCGGCAGTCCACGCGCAGGCTGAGCAGGGTGAGCAGCAGCGGCTCTCGGACCTCGGACGCCGCCAGGAGCACCTCCGGAGTGGTGTAGTGCCGGCCCAGGTGATCCACCATCGCTCTGTATGCCTTGACGGCCAGCGCCGACGGCAGCGAGTCCAGGTGTATGGAGAGCAGCTCACAGAAGCCCTCGGCAGCCGCCACCAGCGCGGCCACTTCACCAGCCGCCAGCGGTCTGCCGGCCTCCAGCGGCGCGTTCAACACCTTCTCCAGCACGGTCATCACCTCGAGACAGTGCGGGGAGCGGCAGGTACACGCCACGCGCACCAGCAACGACACCAGGCGGGCGCGCACCAGCGGGTCCGGCTCGGCGGGGAGTCCGGCGGCGGCCGGCAGCAGCACCGTCTCCAGCAGCGGGCCCGCCTCCAGGCTGCGGAATCCGTCCCAGACACGCTGCAGGACGTCACACACCGCCAGACGCACTGCCGTGCGCCGCTCCCGCTCGAAATAGCGCGCCACCAGCTGGCGCAGCTCCGGCAGCCACGTGTACCTGCACAGAGGTAAAGGACACGCATAAGAAAGCATTCTACGCATGCGGCATTTTCTGCACATATGCGTGCGTGCCGTGCCATAGCGCAAAGACGATTATTGACATAAGCCCGCTGAATGTGAAACAATAGCTTTTGCTTTAGTTGAGCTTGAGCGACAAAGCTGCAGATTCGCTGAGCAGCACAGCAAGGTATTGTTATGTCCCCGCACCATCCGCAGTAGGTCGACAGTTTGTCGGGGTTCCCATGTTTCGTAGGCGAGCAGTCCGTCTTAGTTCTCACCCGCAGAATGAACATTCTTTGGGTTGTTCTCACCTATAAGTCAGCAGCCTGTCGGCGGTGTCGCGCACAGTAGCCACCACGTTGGCCTCGGGTCGGTCGGCGGCGCACAGTTCCAGCGTCTGCGCCAGCCGCGCGTCGTCGCCGCTGAACCGTCCGGCCGCCACCAGCTGCTCTATGGCGGCCAGCAGCGCGGCCAGGTGGGCGCGCACCTGCTGCGCGGCCTGCGCCAGCGGCGGCCGGCCGGACACCGCCTCCCCGTACAGGCGGTCCACCAGGTCCAGCAGGGCGTCCCAGGCGTGCGGCAGCAGCTCGCCGGCCTGCGGGCCGCTCACCAGCCGGCGCAGCTCGAGCGCCACCTCGTGCCAGACGGCCGGCTGCGGCGAGTCGAGCGCAGCGGCCAGCGCCGGCAGCAGCGCGCCCGGCCGGTGCAGCAGCGAGGCCACCCGCTCCTCGCCGCCCCACAGCGCCGTGGCGCCGAAAAACACGCAGCCCTTCAGCAGCGGCGCGTCGTTGGCGTTGGAGCGGTTCATGATGATGTCGGTCAGAACCTGACGGCGGACGGGCGGTGGCGTTGGCAAAGGAACGACACAGTTTGAGTCCAGATACGTCCAAACCACAAGCCCGCTATTTAAGCTGCCACATTGTCAACTTTATCAACAAAACAGCAGCTGTGTACAGCTTTTCAGTAGTTTCCCGTCCAATGCCAACCTATAACATCTCAATTCTCACAAGATCTACCAAGCTCCCCTCCCGGCACACGCATCCACCACCATAGCCATCCCACCCCACCGAAATAGGTCAGAGCACCTCCCCCCCCCCCCTTCTCCGCCTCCGCTGTCCGTCGGACCTCACCTGCAGCGTGACCGGTCCCATGCTGGTGCCCAGCAGGTTCCTCATGATGCGCCAGGCGTGTTTGGCGTGCTCGGGCCGGCAGACCAGCCTGGCCAGCAGTGCGGACAGGCGGACCAGCGCGCCGCGCGGCAGGTCCCGGTAGCACAGGATCACGTCCAGCAGGGAGAGGCACGAGGCTGTGTCCAGGCCGCCCGGCTCGGCGGCCGCGCGCTCGTACACCAGCTCCACGCAGCGACGCACGTGCTCCGGCTCCACGTAGGCGGCGTTGAATTTGACCGTGTTCTGGAGGAGGGTGAGCAGCTCGCGCTGACCGCCGCCGGCCACCGGCTGCAGCAGCGCCTCCGGCAGCAGGCGCACCAGCAGCGACGGCACCTCCTCCTCGATGTAGGTGAGGTTGCGGCCGTTCTCCGTCAGCGCGCTCAGCAGACGCACCTGACGGTATCACGCACTGCGGGGTCAGCTGCTGCAGCCGTATCGTGCCTCGGATAGGTGGGCCAATAGGCTAAACATTATGCTAAAGTACGAGTACGAGCATCATCAAAGTGATCAGTTCCTAGACTATATTCTAGGCTGTAGCAATAGCTCCAAAATGGTGAGCAGTGACCACATGGGGAAGAAGAGCCAATTTTTTAGGTGCAACAAAGACCCGTGAAGCCTAACGGCTTCCCGTCAGGCCCATACCGTCCCCCGGCGTCTCATCGTATACGGGACACTGCCCTGTCCCCGGCGTCTCACCCTGGGCAGGAGGTCCTCGGCGACATTGTGCCTGTCGACCAGTCCGAGCAGCTCCTCTTTGGCGGCCGTCATGTGCTCCAGCTGGCCGGCCACCAGTGCCGTCAGCGCGGCCAGCACCGCCTGGCGCGTGTCGCGCGCCGCAGTCGGCTCCAGAAGGTCGGCCACGTCGGCCACCAGCGACACCAGTTGCAGGTCGTCCAGCCGCTGGCGGCGCACCCGCTCCACCAGATCCTGCGGCGGCCGAGCGCGGGGAGGACGGAGGGTGAGGAGTGGGAGAACACGACCGCTAGACTGCCTGTTCGAGGACACACACCGGTGAATTGTTAGAAGGTGGGTGTTCAGGCGCCGCAAATCCGCCGCCCCTGCGCACCGGCCTGGCTTTGGGGCCGCAGCAGACGGTGGAGGTCAAGGTCATAAGCACTGGGCGGCGGATTTGCGGTGCCCGAACACCCACAGCTCCTTACAATTCTCCGCATATGATGACACATCTCGATAATAAACAATAACGCAATTGGACGCATAATGAAGTGGCCGTCAACGCAACCCGACGCCCAAATAATGAAACGAAAATCAAAAAATGATCTGTCAAAGACGACTTACTGAGAGTGAAATCTAATAACCAAAGTCTGAGATCTAAATATGCTGCAGCGTTTTTCACTGACAGCCTGAAGACAAGTGATGCTTTTGCGTCTAGTCCGAATGGTTTAGAGTGGTTACGGGCAAGGGCACCTGCTTATTACGCGGCACCACAGGGCCACCACAAGACTACCTGCATCGCCCGCGCCCGGTTCACCGGCAAGATCTCGAGGAGAAAGCTTCGTATTTAAATGGCGACACGGTCCTCCCGGGTCTAGCTGCTAGTGTGGCCCTCTCTGTCTCGCCAGTTGCTAGCTGCCATGATTAATGACGAGTGCACACTTAAGGTCTCGAACACAATGCCACTAGATTGACGGTCAGGCACCTTATCTACCAGGAGTAGGCACAGGGACAATTTATCGACAATTGAGTGTATAATACTGACAAATTACCTCACAAACAGCAGTCGTCAAGTAAATCGACAAATAGCGTTTTTTTTATTAGTAAATGACCTGAATGGCCCCCACACTGTGTTCGTTCTGTATGTACATGCAACTGACCTGCAGGGCCCGTACGCGGGTGCCCGGCTGCGAGTGTGAGCGAAGGCTCTGCTGGAGGTCTGCGGTGTACTCGAATGGCTGGCTGAGATACTGACTGAAAGTTACACAGAGCCGGTCATCATAAGGGAACTCCAGACAGGCCAGCAGGGCACCTATGAACAGTGCTGGAAATGAAGCCGCTTTCTGGTCCCGGCCTTTTATTCTCCGGGTGGGTTAACCCCGTCTAGCGCTTAGCCTTTCGGGACTCGCTCAGAGCCGCGGTTGTTTTCGCCGCTCGGCCCTTTCGAGATGCAAAGCTGATAGTCACACGAAGTTTATTTGGGGCCTCTGAAAATGCGAATTCGAAATTAATCGATTTTATAAAACATTTTTATGAGCGAGCGAGCGCAGCGAGCGAGCGAGTTCATACTGAATTAAGGGAAAATCCGGAGTATGAGCGGCCGGCCGGCCGGCCGGCCGGCCGTGGGGACGCTCTTCAAAAGCTAATATCTTAGGAACGGGACATCCGATTGACAAGCGGTCTTCTTTACTGAATGTCACTTGGACGTAAAAGTTCTGTGGAGTGATGGCCACCATGCGTTCTTGCCAACCACCGCACGTGGCGCGTGGTAAAGTTGGACATTTTTTAAGAACCCCCAAAATTGCAACCTCAATAACGGCACAACGGTTGGGCCGATTGAATTGAAACTCGGTACACAGTTAGGTCTCCATCAGATAAATCATCTGCATGTGTTAAGGTTGGGGTGCTACAGCACGTGCGCACGTGCAGGGGGCGCTCCCAGATCTCGAGAACGGCTGGGCTGATTGCGCTCAAATTTGGTACCTACACGGCTGGGGACCGGTTAGTAGGGTGCCGTGCAAAAGTCAGTTTGGACCCCGCTTGCACGTGCGCACGTGCAGAATGCCGCTTCCAGATCTCAGGAACGGCTGGGCCGATTGCGTTCAAATTTGGCACACCGCTAGCGACCGGTTAGAAGGGTGCTTTGCACAAGCCCGTTGGAAGTACCCTCTCGCCCTTGCGCACGTGCAGGGCTCACTATCTCGCTCGCTCGTTCTTCGCCCAAAAGGCGTTTTACTGGTTATTTCATCTACATGCATACATTTAACAGTATCTCCAGACTAGGCTGGTTTGGCTGGCCCTAAATACGCTTCGTGTGACTATTAACTTTGCATCTCGACTAGGGCGAGCGGCGAAAACAACCGCGACCCTGAGTGGGTCCCGAAAGGCTAAACGCTGGACGGGGGTAATCCACCCGGAGAATAAAACGCCGGGACCAGAAAGCGGCCTCATTTCCAGCACTGCCTATGACAATTCATATAACTCTGCTAGCACTGGCAAAATAGTAGCAAGTATAAAGGAACTTGTAACAAGTAACCTTGGGAGGAGCTAGTCAACCATTAAAAGAATTAATGTTGGTTAACATTCATATCATGCATGCCCAGCACATTCCTGACACCTAAATATTAACAGCTGTTTCATATAAATCTTACAATAAATAATTATTAGGCAGAGATAAATAAGATGATTTAGTGAAATCATGGGTAAAATTGCAAATTAAAAGAACAATAATAGCATGCCAGCAACATGATTAATGAAATGATATTACAAATGAAAAACAAAAGATACCTGTAATTACTCCCATCACGATTGTGCTTAAAGAACTTCTTCAGCTTATCTTGGAAATGTTTGTCCTTTTCTTTTGACATTTCTTATTCAAGAAGGTTGTGTTAGGAATGTTCAAAAATCAGAAACTGGTGGATCCCTCAATTCTGTAAATAGGTAGGAGAAAAATGGTCAAGCTTTCATTATCTGGGTATATCTTCAGGTCATGGAGTTAGGGCTAGATTAGATAGCTGAACAGCTTTTGACAACTCGCAACTGCTGTGATAAAATTAAAATGGCCCTACTCCATCTAATTGTTTTCTGAGGCAGCTTCCAGCCCTGGTTCCAACCTGGGTTTTAGTCAAGCAGTCTTGAGAACATCTTGGAGCAGATACACGTGTGATGTGGGCCCCGTTTCACAGCAGGCTGCTACCTACATGGGCCCTGGTAGCAGCAGGTAGAATTGAACTGCGAAACAGAGCCTTGGGACACCATGAACTTTGAAGCTTTGTTACAGACTCGACTACCTGTCATCACCCAACACCAGTCTAGAGTGCATCACTCTTTGTACAAGCTAAGCTCAATTGTTTTGTGCTGTGACCCTTGCTGTGTGAGCAAGATCTATTACCTCTCATTTAGGCAAGCCATACAAAATAACCACTGATATAACAAAATATCAGCTAGCCTCAGTAATATGTTTCACATGAGCAGTATTTTTAGCAAGTCCTAATTATACATTTCAGGGATTCTGAAGAAGAAAATACAGTTTAACAATTTTTTTTAATAAACCTGGCCTTAGGACCCTGCACCAGCCACCATCACATCATACCAGAGACCCTATGCCCATTTTGATGCTTCAGCTTCTTTACACTGGCAGATCCGAAAGGCAGTCTTGGAGACTGTGGAGTGTGGGGGTCCCCGGTCATACCCCAGCTTTCTCCAAATTCCAGAAAACTCAATGGATTTTTGAATCCTTAAGTGCAGTGAAGCTGTGCAGTTAAAGCTAACTTTCCTAAACAGTCATTTAATTTTCATTTAATTCTCGAAAAAACACAAATATTTGTTTATCCCATACTCCATAGCAATAGTTCAATTTTTAAGCACATTGCAAGGCCTTATATAGGGCACATTTTACAAGTCAAAATTGTTGGTTGTGGGAGACAAAATGAAGCTGAAATAAATGGAAAGTACTCATAAAACGAGCCAACCAACAACAGCTAAGCTCAAAATTGAAATCCGGAATAGGCCACATTTGCTTTGGTTTGAAATGACACACAGCATAAGTATTTCAATACTGTTGTGTTGTAGCTTAATATTTATATTATTTGACATTATCTGATACAGATTATTCACAAAAATACAGATTATTCCGCACATTTCACATTTCAATAATAATTCCAATATTTATCCGACTGGACACGTTTCCTTTTTCTTCATATTTGTTGCCCTATTTTGCGCCACAAAGGTAACAATGGCGCAGCTCAAAGAGAAAGACACCACCACGAAATTATAACATTTTTAATCGCTTAAGTTCAGGGAATATCTATTACGTCCTACGCTCTTCAGTTGCCTATCAGACGTGCTTCAGATCTGTAACAGAAAACATGTCAGCATAACTCATTCTTCATTACGTGATAAGCGTCAGACAGCTGCCCGGTCTCAGTTGGCCCCGCCCCTCCGCTGCCTGGGCCGGACTCCCGCTCCCTTCCCTTCCCCTCAGCGGTCACTGTCAGCCCAGCTGTCCTTGTCCAACACAAATAGGTCAGGAGTGTGGAGGTTGCCGACCCGTTCGAGCGACTGAGCTGTCAGGCCGGTCCAGGCTTGGCAGCCTGCCACTGCAGCACGGGTGCCAACCAAGGTAAAATCAATGGGCCGAATCGAGCCAAGTGGGCGCGCGGCCGCAACCCACTAGTCATGATGCCCTCGGCAGATCGTTTGCGCGACATTGAGGTCGATCACTTCTGGTGCACACATTCCGGCCAAGCTCTTACACCGCACGGCGACCGACCCAGTGTATACTCGATTCCCCGGCCGAGCCGACCCGGCCAGCCGGCAGACAGACAGACAGACAGACAGATGGCGGGCGGTTGGCATCGGTCCACTCCTGTCACCAGCCCCGGCTGCCGAACCGTTGAGCACTGCTGACCGCCACCCTGAGTCACAGGTCTCAGCTGATCCCGTCCAGCAGTCTCAGCTGAGACCCGCAGACCACCGGTCTCACCTGGTCCGGCCCCGCGGACCACCGGTCTCACCTGGTCCGGCCCCGCGGACCACCGGTCTCACCCGGTCCGGCCCCCTGAACCACCGGTCTCGGCTGGTCCGGCCCCGTGGACCTTGACCGGCCGCAGACCGACTGCTATCAGTCTCTGGCCCCAGTCACAGCGCAACAGCGCACAGTCGACCACACGATATTGCTGTCCAGCCACAGCTCGCTGATAACCGACCAGTCCGGAATTTGGCAGGGTTCACTGCGGTCGCATATCAGCTGGATAGATCCCCACAGAGCGCTGATAACCAGGCTAGCTGGCCGGGTTCACTGTCACATATCGGCTGCAGAGGTCTGAAATGGCTCAGGACCGTCACCGTCACCTGATCAGTAAACAAAGCCATCCGCCAATGATATACCGTCCAAACCAATAACAAAAATAGACTCGGTATGAAGTCTGGACAATGCAGTGAAAACCTCGCAAGCCTATATTATGGTATAATATAGCCAGCCAGCCAGTATAATGGTAGCACGTGTCCAGATGTGCTCAAAATGCACACCACTAATCTGAACTTGAATTTATTGACTCTTCCAAACCACCGACAGGTAAATTGACATGCATATTGATAATCCCGTGTACTGGGCAATTATAACGTTCGGACGATACATCCGGCCGGGGCCGACGGTCAGCTGTCGAGCCTCAGCGGGCGCTGCTCGCCGGCTCAGACTGCCGGAGGGAACTGGGGAACCTCCCGGATAGGGGGACGGGAGGGGCAGCAGCGGGGCGCCAGGAAAAGGGGAAGACGAACAGACGAGCATACCATTTGGGTATCAGCAGGGACGGCACAACCGATAGATGATTTACCGATAATAGATACAAGCGAGTAAAACATAACAGGTATCTTATAAACATCCGAGAAGAGGTTTCCCAACGACTAGCGCCAATACCACACAGCCAAACACCACCGATTTCACCACCCGCGCGGACACAGCGCGCCAATCACGGCGCCCCGCAGAAAAGGTGCCAATCACGCCTCAGACACCGCTCGCGCACGCACTCTCGCCCTGGAGCGCCCGTCCCTGAGGCGCGCCGCCGAACGCTCTCAGTCACGGCGCCGTCTCAGCCGCCGGAACCGCCGACGCGTGGCGTCATTCCTCGCGCGCTTCTCGTCACTCTCGCACGCACTCGCTCTCTCGGACACTAGTAGCGGGGCGGCGGGCGGCGCTGGGCGCGCGCTCCCGCCACTCCGTGGTGGCTGCTATATCGGGCAGAGCTCGCCGGACCGTAGACGGCGTTCAGGAGGCGCCGGCCGGACCGGGGCGGCGCGGCCCAGCCGGCGGCGCCCCGGCGGCACGCGCTCTCTCTCGGCTCGGCGCGGGCTCGGTGCGGACCGGTACGGCGGGCGGGACGGCCACCGCGGCCGGCCCTAGAGCACCATCTTGCCGACGATGGTGCCGATAATGAGCGCGACGATGGCCATCACGTAGTACATGGTAGTGTCGACGGGCGCGGGCTCTGCGGAGGCGCCGCTGCCGGCGCCGGCCGCCGCCAGCTGACGGCGCAACCGGATCCCCTCCTCCTGTGGGGAGCGGAGAGCGCGCCGTCAGACTAGGAGAGTCGGATACGGGACGACGAGCACCGCACCGCGGCAACACAGGGTAAAATCAGGCCGCCATCCGCGCCAGGGGCACAGTGACTGTCCAGCATTCAGCAGCCAAGGGTCGCTTAGAACACAATGATGCATATCATAATGTTCACATGGTGGGTACTCAGAAGTTCGCTTTAACCGAATCCATTCAAGGTAGCAGCATATGTAGATTGCCGTCGTTTGGCAACAACAAACACGTGCCTGTTCCCTCAGCTTTGCAACATCGGAAAGTCATGAGTAACCCGGCACCTGGCAACGAGTGCATCAATGTTTGCTCGTAAGTAAATACAGCACCATTAAAATCAAACCTGCGAGTCAGCATATCAACGCCGAAATCGATACCACCGACAGAAGGTCAAGTGGACATGAGGCCTTTAATCTGACTCAGAATCGCATGAGCCTACTCGAGTGAGCCGCACAGCTGTGCGCCTGTCAGCGGGCGGACCACGCGCGTTCGCCGGGCCGGCGGCGAGCGTTCCACCCCGTGACTCTACACCCACCTTGAGCTGGAGGTTTTCGTTGCGCGCATTGCTCATCTCCTCTCTGAGACGCCGCACCTCGTCAGCTGCCATCTTCATATCCTTGGGCTCCGGCTGACCGGGCGGGGAAATGGCGTCAGCATGGGCACAACCTGGTTTAGCTATATACATCATAAATGGGAATAGAATAGGCACACTCTAGGCCACAGGACTGGTGTAGAAAATTCAGCAACACATGGACGGTGTACTTTACAGGGAAGGCGAGATAGTAGAAAAATACATAGATGTAGATATGAGACAATATTGATCCCTGACACATTGTCACATGAGACTGGCTCAGCATCGTAAGATTGCTTATAACTCGACTAATTGCCGCTAGCACCTGCCAGCGTAGCATCCATGGTCTTAATCTCCGCCTGCCCCAATATCTCCACTCAGGCGCTCATCCATTCAAGAACGCGGACCGGCACTCGGCACACGGCCGTAATAAGGACGCCTGTCACACGCCACAGTGGCACCCTGTGTCTGGGCGCCGACCGAAATACCCGGCCGCCGACACGGCGCTGTAAATAGTCGCCCGGACGGCCGGCGGGTCGCACCACCACGGCTGGGAGCTAGGCAAGACACGGCAGTACACGGTCCGAACTAGTGATGTCAGTTTCCTTATTTTGCCTAATTATGTACGATCACTGATCAGTAGGTAGCCCGAAATACTCTGGAAAGATGTAACAAAATGTTCGAAACGTAGAGTGCGAAATTGTCCGATTTCCTTTTTCGAACGATGAATGAGCTCGGTTGCGACGTCGATAATAATATTTCCACATGATGATGCAATGCAATCAATTGTGCAAGAGATAATTGGCAAATCGATATGCAATAAAATCAGACCAAAAAACAATATGCTTAAAAACACGTAGGGAAAATGTTTCAGTGCAATGAACAGAAAAAAGATAAGCATTTGTGTGCCTGACCGACCGAAGCATGAACCGGTTTCGGACTTTTTCCCAACGCCAGAAAATTCATACTCCGATTTACATCACTAGTCCACTCCAAACGGACAGAGCCAGGGTCGGCGCTGCCCGTCGGCGCTCACCCTGCTGGCCGGATCCTCCTGCGAGTCGGCCGGCATCTCAAACACGCACCGCATCTTGTTGGAGGTCATGATCTGTTCGGGGCTGGCGTTCTTCCACTGCGGACGCACGGCAGACGAGAGGTCGGGTCAGATACTGACGGTCGATGAACGTACGGACACAGCTTGACACGACAGAGCCCATTTAGCAGAAACCGTTTGGATCAACCAAACGGTTGAGCCAAACGGTTGATCCAAACACTGTGGGCGATTACCACATCGGCAAAGAGAAAACAGTGGCACCAGCAGCCATTGACAGCCACAACCCAAGTGCAACTCATCAGTAAGTAAGGACGAAGAGTTTGCACACTTCCGAGAGCTCTCACCAGTGACTCGAGGTCTTCATCTCCGTCTGGCAGGAACATGGTCTGTACCATAAACTTGTGCTTGTTCTTTTCAGCAGGGTCGTAATCAAACGGCTGCAGCATCACTGCAAAGTGAGCGACGAGCGTTTAGACTGATAGTGAAAAAAAGGAATGAGCGGTGGAATAGGAAGGAGTTTTTACGAACCCCGAGGAGGTAAGATTGCGGAAAGTCGATTTATTTGAACAGAAATTTAGCGATCAGAATGGTCTCTGAGATGAAACTTGACGATTATACCATTAGCGATTTGATTGTCTATTGGTGATTTTATTGTTTACTTTTAAGACCTCATTTCATTACCTGTCTCCTATGATAATGCATTAATATGATGCCATCACAAAACATAACATATCGACATGGTAAATGCCAACACCAACATATCGCAGACCGGCCAACCGACTTACCTGCAATGCTAACCGTGCTTCCCGGTTCTACGATGCCCTGGTTCGGCCTCACGCAGTACCTCTTGGGCGCTGTGGTTTTGATCTTGAACGTGATCCTCTTGTCGGACGTGTTGGTGACCGTGAGGTTGCTGCTGGACACCTCATCCTTGAACGGACCTGTGATTAAAAAGGCATTCCATCAGCACAGTACAGCCAATGCCATCACTCAAGGACATGCTGGCTACTCAAGTAAGCTTGCATCGATTCAAGCAACGTTTGAAGGGACATAAAAATATGCCTCCCAAGAGACAGTTATTCGGTTAAGCCAACATTATAAACGGCGAGGATAGCGGCGGAGTTTCCCCGGATGGTCGCTCGCTATCGAGACTCTTTGTAGAGGACACGTCTCTAGGGTCCTTAGTAGCCGCAGAAATCCGACCGCCGATGTCCCGGACTAGCTTCGATCCTGCTTCTCTGACTACGCCGGTAGTCTCCAACTCTCCACTGCTACTGAAGTGGAACTATAGCGGTCTGCAAGACTAGTGTAGCGCACGCGCTTCAGGTTCTCAGCGGCGACTGCAGCTGCGCCGGGATCCACCGCACACTTCACCACGTGAGAGGCAGCAAATGTGTCAACGCACGTTGCGTCCCATGTGAGGCTTCAACCAGCATTGAAGGGGAAAGTCGTCAGTCCGTCGGGGCGCTTTCCATCTCCTCTGTCCAGCCCCACAACAGGTTCTAAGATCCCTTTCTAGGCTAGGCTTTGAAAAGGATCTTAGAACTAAGCTAAGCAAAGCTTTTTTAGCTTTGCCTTCCCTAGCTATTATGTCAGTGCAAAGCTTAGGTTGCTAGAGGCAATCAAATGTCAAGCTTCAGATTTTGAAAATTTGGAAATTAGCTCATAAATTAAATTCAATGGAGCAGGGCAACGGGGTGAAGAAAATAACATTTAACAACTCCCATCATGCCCTTTCTGTTCAAATTTTGTGATATTTTACATCAGCTGAAGGGCTCAGCTGAAGGGCTCGACCATCAAAAAGCCAATTTAAAAAAGGCACATTTGTCTTTGCATACAGCTCTTTTTGCATGTTTGATACTTTATACTTTATGAAACTTTAGTGAAGCATACTAAAATGAATGATACTTTCATTAACTCCATGATAAATATGACTGATGCATTGCATTATGCACCAACACACCAATGCATTATGCAGTAAGTGCAATGCATTATACTCTGACCACTATTTTATGCATTACCTAATCTCAATCTTGTGGCAAAAGTTAATTGTATGGTGTGTTTTGAGCCAGAGGCTATCTTCATATTTTATTGCAAAACACATTTGATATCCATTTAGCCCATACAACCACAAGTTGCACCAATACACATGTAGGAATTCTCATACAATATGCAAAACCATCAAAATATGATCACAATGTCAATGATCCAGGCAAAAACCAGAAGCATATTACATATAGGGTCTTTAAAAGTGGAAGACCATTGGCATATCCAGCTTGAAGCATTTGAGGTATTTGCGTCTCCTTCAGAGTCCAAAATGGACATAACTGCCATTTTGAGATTCTTGAAAAAACACAGAAATCACATAAAATGTGCCTGCAACTGAAGAGAAGAATACGAGGAAGCAAAATACAGCCCACAGCATCTCAAAACACCTCTCAATCTGAATTTGTCAATGGATATGATACTGTCCTCACCTTAACCTAGGCACCAATAATAAGAATTTAGAACGCACAACTCAGCAAGGGAAAAGTTGCCCAGAGGCCAGTTTTATTAACAGAAAAATAGCCGCCTGCCAGAATTTTTTGCCTAAAGACCGCTTCACATATGAACTGTAAACAGTTTATTCAAGCCCTATCCGCTTACATGCCCAGCACGTTTACGCTCCATATTGGTATGTGAAGTGGTCTTTAGGCAAAAAATTCAGGCAGGCGGCTACTTTTCTGTTGGTAAAACTGGGCTCTGCTCTTGCAGTTCACTCATCAGAAACATATTTCTCAATTTAACATGAATCATACACCTTGCTTGGTGCAGGCTGGTGCATATTTCCACGGTGACTATAAATACATATTTCCGGCATCCTTGTGGCGAGCTGGTGCAGACTCATCGCCCTGACTAATGGCTGATGTCGCCAGGCCCATGTCGTCCCCTATCTCCGCGTGTGTCCACTAACACGAATGACGTCACGCATGTGGGCGGAGCTATGGGCGGAGCCTAACGCACGCGGCAGTCCAAGCCGCCATATTTGAATTTATATTTTAATAGAATCTTGCCGATATTTTGGGTGAAGTCAATTTATATGGATAGCTTGGTGACAGTTTAGCTATACGAATAATAATTTATTATGGATGTGCGTATATTCAGCTTGCGTATATATGATGTGCGTATATATGCTTGGAATTGCAATTTAAGTTCCGCACCGCATAGATTCGAACTCGGGACCTTTGGAATACTGCGCGGGCACGCTAACCACTACACTACCGCGACCGCGCGGCGGCCGGCGGCAGGGAGGCTGCGGAGACATGAGGGGACATTTTACGCTTTTGTGAAAAAAGCAAAAGATTTAGCGAAAAACACGTAATGGATAACTTGCAGAAAATTGTCTGCTCTTTCAGATAAGATACTTAGGTTTGATATATCTTGTGCAGACTTCATTCTACAGTGCTTCGAAAATCGCTCATTTACATGGGGATTGAACGGGGCTTCGAGACTTGACTCCAAATGACATCACGAGCTGACGTCATGAAAAGGTAGAATCGCCGGACAACCCTACCTGGTATATAGGGCCTTGGATGTCGCTCGACGCTCATTGCATCTGTGCAATGCTTTGCAATCTGATTCTGGTCACCTGAAGTTAAACCAAATAAAGCATTCAAGATATTCTATAGCTTGTCAAAAGTAAAAAATATATCAAATTTAACATTTAAAAAGTGAAATCGCATACTAGGCACCTTTTCCAGATGATCATCATTTACAAGTCAAACTCGGCGAAACCGACGCACATGACTTACCTTTAAATCGGAGCTCCTGTGAAGGCTCGATCGCTATTACGTTGTCTGACGACGCCATATTCACCCTTTTTATTTATTCGGAAGGGCACGAACTTCTAACAACAAAACAACACAAACATACGACAAATTTTCACCCCACCTTCCGACACGAACACTCCACAAACGTGACAAATCAGCCAAACAAATATTTATGTATAATGCGCATGCGTAAATGACCTTGGCAACGTCGAACGAAGATTTCCGAAAATGGTAAAATTGATTTTACATCTAAATAAATAACAAATAGGCATTTGCTGATTTTCACTCAGCACACCAGACATTTAATATTACTATATTTATTTTTTAATGTACTAGATAATACTACATATATGTAGATGTCGCCCACATCAGCAAGAGCATTTCGATTTCAGTGTAGATGTCGCCAGCCGGCTACCTTGGCTGGAGCGATTGGCTGGAGGACGACATTAGGCAATGCCGAGAACGGTGAGTATTTTTTATCCGTGAGTCAGTGTATATTGTGCAACATGGACACCTATGTCTGTCATATGCGTGGGTCTTACGCTTCAATCGGCAGTTGTAAATTACTTTCCATATAGTTTCGGTAAGTCGGGACTCTGTGACATTGAGCTGGTCCCATTGCGCCCAAAAGCCCTCAGTGTCTCGAGCTGGCTCCACATTGGTATTGGGCTCGGTCTGCAGTGCTCACTGTGGTATTGGCAAGCAGTTGAGTTGAAATTGTGTTGGTCCAGGAGGTAAGAGTCACAACGCTTGATCGAGAGGCTCCAATATCTAGACACGGGTCTCCGGAGTCGGGCCGAGTGCACCTCACAAGTAGGTACAAGTTACCGCTCAATATTGCACCTATCTAGTATCTGAGCTCAAGACGCATTGAGGCCTGGTTTGCACCTGAGGCGCCAAGAGGTCCTGATATGTCATGCGGATCTTGTCAGCTGTAGGTACCTAGTTATTAAGTTTCACTGGTGCCATCCCTCAATGGATTGATATTCGAACTGGGGGGGGGGGGGGGGGCTATCCCGTCCGCAACGCAGCCGACAGTCTGTCCTGACCCATCCGAAATCCCAACAATTCGTGGGGGCTGCCTAGCGCCCTTAGACGAGCTGAAGGCTCAAAAACCGTCGGACAATGCATGAACAAACATCAAGGTACCTACATAGGTTCGCTGGACCAAGCTGCATTTCAAACTGATAAACATCGACAAAATACTTTTATATTGTAATGATCGTGTCGATTGATGCACAAACCATCCGTTGACCTGCATTGGTGACAGGGCATTCAATTTCTGTTCACAGTTCGAAGTTCGAACGATGGTCAGCACTCAGCAGTGCATCAGCGCTAGCATTTCACCGTGGCTCGGAAGTACGCGATACAGGACTCATCGCCGTGCAATCGACGATACCAGCTTTTACCACTCACCATCCCCGGGCGGTACGGTACGGTTTGGTTCGGTTCGGTTCGGTTTGGTTCGGTTCGGTCCGGTACGGTACGGTTCGGTACGATACGGTACAGACGGTACGGTGCGGTAACAAATACGGCGTCGGAGTACCGTGTTGGCTTACTAGCGACCAACAATCTTTAACGTTTGTACAGGGTGATGCGTAATGGGTGGTCAGTATGAAACTGGACAAAATTTGATTAAGCATAGCATCTCCAATTATGGACAGATTTTAATTATATTTGGCAGGTGAATACTTCCAGTTATTCTATATTACCAGCTCAGATTTCAACTTTCTGCTATTAACTAGTAGAAAACATTGCGCCGGTAAGTCAGCAAGCGTTCCGGGACCTGTTCGCGCAAGTTTGTGAAAATAACACAAATTACAAAAATGTTACCATTATACGTCACATTACGCCATAGGGTGTAACCAGATCTTACGAATATGTGATTATCGATAAATTCTGAGGACTTGCAGATGTTTTGCATGGTGGGAACGGCAAGATCACCAAGAAAAGGCTCATTCAGCACGGCAGAAACAAACTGGCGCCGTCACCGAACAGTTGGGGCTCTCCTTGTGATCTCTGGGAATAAATTTTGGAATCTTCAAAACATATGACCAATTAATGTGTCAACAAGCAGGAATCTGGTACAAAAATAGGATAAAGGTGACGGAGGTACAATTTCGTTCGCAGAAAACCCGCCTGCGCCGTCTGTCACAGGGTCCAATACAGGGTAGCAAAAACATGGAGGTGCATATGGACGATGAATCTTATTTCACCTGCAGTGGCAGCCAAATGCCTTCCATTGTCGAATTTTACACCTCAGCTGGTGGAGACAATATTCCACATGTGGATCGCACCTTCGCTTTCGACCTGAGAGCAAGTATCCACCCGAGATGCCCGTCTGGCTTGCCATGAGTCCGAGGGGCTCGCGCGTCCAGTTACTTGCCAGGCACAGGCAATGTAACAGGCGAACTGTGCTATGAGAAGTGTTTGAATGGCGTGTTATTACCACTTCTTGAGTCTCAGAACACAGACCATGATGCTCTGTTAGGTTCCGACCTTGCAACAGTCACAGTACTCGCGCTAGAACACGAAACTTCTTGAGGAGGCTGGGGTGCCCGAAATAGCACGTGACATGAACCCGCCATGTACCCCTCAGATTTAGCCCATTGATGATCTGTGGGGGCTCATCAAACAGAAAGTGTATAAGTGAAGGTGGCAGGTCAGCTGAGACGCACAATAGAAGCGAAGAATCCAGCAGGCCATCCGTCAAATCGACCCAGAGGTGCCGCGAAAGACAATAGCGGGGCTGCCAGCGCGCGTGCGCTTGGAGGCTGACAGAGGTCCAGTGTCGCACATACATTAGGGCGAGCGTGATCACAGCAAAATAATGGCACGGTACCGCGATTTTCGTTGCTTTCGCTTGAAAACTTTCGACACAGTAACAATTCAAACTTTGTCCAGTTTCATACTGACCACTCGTTAGTTCACACTACACAGCAAACATCGAACAGTCTAGTTGTTGACGCCACTCACTTGGCCCGGAGCGCCTCGGGGCACAGCCGGTCGGTGGGTGGTACCGAATACTGCCGCTGCACGGCGCCACCAGTCCCAGCCGACCGAGCCAGGTGGCTGACGTCTGTACCACTCTGACCTGTCACCTCTGAGACCCCCGCGGGGTCACCAGTGTCCCTGAGGTCACCCCGCCCGGCGTCTGACCGTTCGGAGGCAGGGGACCCATCAGCTGACCTCAGACGGTCACCAGGTCTGCCTGTTGTCGGCTCGGCCGCTGGGCACTCAGAGCTGGGCTCTACACTACCAGGCTCCTCCAAATCACCCTGCATGATTCCGTGGACGCTACAGCACTGTTGTTTGGCACTGCGGCCGTCCTCTTCAGGCGCTACCGTGTCGTTCTTCAGTCGTGAGTCATCCCAGTCTTCCTCCGCAGTAGCTGCTCTGTTCTCAGCGGCAGTAGCTACATGGTAGCGGACTTCAGCACAGGGGCGGTACGTTGCGGAGTACATTGGGGACGAAGGCGCTGCACCACTCTGTCCATCAATGGGTGAGCTCGTAACATGCTCTTCACAGCGGGACGCAACGGCACCAGGCTCTGTCACGGTATTGGTGACGACTGCGCTGCGGGAGGCGGCGAGAGAACGTTCAGCAGTGCATGAGGGATCGCGCACACCATTTTGACACCCGGTAGAGCCATTAGGTGCGGTGAGACAACTTCTGGCAGATTCTGGGGAAACGTTCGAGCATTCACTTTCAAATATACGAGGCTTTGTAAAAGCTGGATGCGCTAATTTCAGCTGTTGCGCAGGCCTAAGTGGTTGACACTCGTGCTCCTCTTTCACGACAGCCGAGGGCAGGGGCGCCACTCGGGACACCAGCAGCCGGTCGTCCCCAGATCCCTGCTCCAGGTGCACCATTACCTCCCTCCGCCGCGGGACATCAGCACACCGCAGCGCGCTCTCCGAGCGCCGCCGAGCGCCGCTGGGAGCGCTCTTACTGCTACTCAAAGGTGTTTTCTGGGCGTCACTGGCAGCTCGGACTCCGTTGAACGCCTGGTATCCTCCACTGGGGCAGCGTCTCTGGCCTGGGCTGGGACCGTTCACCAGACTAGCGGCAGTGCTGCCGCCCTGGCGACCCAGTCGGTTATCGTAGTTGGTCTGGTCGCCGTCAGGTGTCGCGCGTGTCACTCCCGCTCTCAGCGCGCACAGCACCGACGAGGAGTGTTTCCGGAAAAGGCTGCCGACCGCGGCGGTCACTGGGGGCCGTTCGCGCGGCGCACCGGGACCGGAAGGGGCGCACTTCCGGTGAGTGTCGGAGGATGGCCGGACGAGAGGAGCGGTCGACGCTGGGTTGCGGGCATTGACTGTCGACGGGTCGCGGACACGGGGTGAAGGCAGACTACGGACACAGTTCGGGCCGACCGGTGGAGGACTGCGGGCAGAGACCGGACCGACCGGCAGCGGTCCGCGGACGCAGGGCGCCGACACGGAGCGCGTGAGGTGCGCCCCTGCGGGCGCCAGGTGCCAGGGCAGCGTCTGACTGGCCGAGCTGCGCTGTATCAGCGCCACGCTGGAGGTGGCCGCTGCCGACTGGCTGCTGCGGAACCGCGCCGGCACGATCTTGGAGGCCGAGTCGCGCACTTCGAACGTCATCACACAAGAGGCCACCACGATGAACCCTGGGGAAAACACAGACAGGGAGGTGGTCAGTTCGTATCCCACTAACTGGTAGGGAGGTGTGAAATGTGAATGAGCTGCCGTTCTGTAAACACACACTGTTGTAAATCAAATGTTCGGGTGGGAAGGCTGCCGATGTCTAATGAAATAGCTTATTCTCAAAGGCATTTTCTTTCATTTTTTTTTTTTTTGACGACATAAAACGTTGTCAGTTATGTATCCTTTCGCATACAGATAAATCCGTGAAATACCTATCGAAGAGTATCTACATACATACATGACATAGGTACGACTACGAGCATATCGCAACTAACGTTAAAGCCAGCTGACACGTCCCACATTTCTTGGAAAATTTGCCCACTATTTTCAGGTATTTTCAGCGCTCGCCTCAGAAGCCGTTCTATTTAACCTGCTGCTCATCGAACCGATCAGCCCGCCTTATAACTGTCTCCACAGTCCACTGAACGATGGAGCCCAGCCGTTTCCGTTTAAACGGGCGCAAAAAGCAGCTGACACGACATTTGGTGATTGGGCCGAGGGTCTGGATGCGACTCAATTTCCTCGTTTTATCCATAACTGAGCTCGATATTTCCAGTAATGATCAGCGTACTTCTCTGGACAAGGCGGCAAGATGAAGCTCACGGTTCCCAATAAAAATCCCCAGTGAATCTATGTGTCAAACAGATGGCAGTCAACATTTTGGATTTCCCTAAGGGTAAATCAAAAACTTTTCCTTTATTCGGGAGGGCCAAGTGCGTGAGGCTAATTTAATGCAATTGTGGACTGCTAACAGGCAGCATTAGGAAGCTAATTAGCGCTCCCGCCTGACAGATTTGCTGCGAAACTTCCGCCGAGCTGGTGGCAGCTGCATGTGTCGCTCCCTGTGACACGCAACAGTGGCCTCAGGTATAAATTGCTGAGCGAGCTGCTAAATCTGGACGACGTAAGGCACCGTTCGGTATTTCAAACGAGTCCTCTTCGCAAGCGCTTGATCGATCAGCGGGTAAGTACGTCGACTGAACCTAAATTGGCATTATGAGTGGTAACTTGCAATTAACAAGTTTAGATACCTACTTCCGGTCAAGGATGACCGAAAAGGCCATGTTGCGAGGGCCGAGGGTTTCGACCTGAAAGAATGAGCTGAGCGACAGGCGACTGAAGACATCCCGCATGCTTTCACTGCTTCAGAATGGTATGTATATTAAAATTGGTTCACAAAAAGCTGTTCGTGACCTTATTATGACCTCAAGGGCAGGCACAATATGGGGTGACCGATAAACTTATACATAAACTCGGTAGGTATAGCTGTGAAAACTTTAATTAGTCTAAATAACATAACATTTTACCTAAATAACATTTAGGTACCTACTTACATAGGTACCTAAATGTTATTATTGTTCTCCGTGTATCATAAAGAAAAAGCGCTCATGTAGAAGACCCCTCGCCGAGACAAAACAAAAAAACATAACAGACGAGCTGCGTTTCAGCGCTGCAGATAACGTCTAGCGTTGGTGGCCATTTCCCTGGTGTGCGATCCTGTCGATCAATGTATCCGATCAGCGATCAGTGCCGTGGGCTCTAACCTCCCGCTCTGGACCCGCACCTGCGACTGCCGTCTCCCAGCCTTGGTCTCCCAGGAGAAGCGCAGCACGCTGCCGACAGTGGTACCGGGCGCTATTAGGTCGGCGAAAACAGTACAATTTGGTATATTTTTTACCACAGTGGACGGGCAGATAAGTCAATGGTGGGCTTGGCATTGGTTGTGTATTTGCAACACCACAGTTATGAAAAGATACAATTAAATTAAAGTATGTAAAGGTTGAACGTTTAAATAAATGCATCACTAAGACCAGACAACATAAACAAGTGTTGATAACTAATGAGCCCAGGTAGGGGAGAGAGGTCATATTGCGCCATGTTCTTAAATACGCCACACCTTCCTCCTGCCCAAAGTTCGATTCGAACGAATACTCGAATGTGTGCATTTACTTCACCACCAATAACTCGCTCTTATTCCGGTCCACGGGGGCAGGTGAGGTGTCTCAGCTTTCTCGCAGACCATTTTTTGTGATTTCCTCTATTTTCTTACGCGAAAGTCTATTTCGACCTTTGCTAGTGTCATGGTTTATCTTAGAGGTAGTGATTCAACTAATAATCATTGTTAATTGCTCGTTTAATGGTAGTTTTGAAAGTTTATCACCACCGTGGCTTCGCTGTCGTCGCCATATTTGAAGCTCATGAAAAATGTGTTCCATTCGTAATTGCGCCCACCCTACCTATTTGCGCCCTATTCTTCAACCCAGAGAAACAGCATCTGGTGGTTAGGACACATTTCATTGAACACTTTGATTATTAGAGCGCTCACCTTACCATTACCTTAGCCTTCACAGCATAAATGGTTAATGGGCTGACACGTTCAAACAGGCTACTTATTTAGGTGGCAAACCGTTGTTTTTAATAGGGCGCTTTTACACGAGAGGCATGGGCGCTTTTTGATGGGGGAGTCCGTAAATGCGCCCTTTGCAGATGTGCCGGAAAGCTTTTCTCTTGTTAATTTTTCTGGGTGTGATACAAATTGGGAGTTGTTATTTGATGCCAAAATAACTGAGGTACAATTTGAGATATCATCAAACATGACAGCTGGTCAACTTTTGCCGCAATAGGCCGATATCCTTAAGGTGGCGCAATATGACCTCTCTCCCCTATTATTTAAAATGTTCGCCATACAACTGGCCCCAACAACTGGGTGAATACAGTGATTTGCAGAGCTGGGCAAGTGCGTTCCTTTAGTGCGTTCCTGCGTTCTTCCGTACGTACGCACCGCCCTTTTTAGGAACGCAAGAACGCAGGAACGCAAAGTTTTTCAAAGGAACGCAAGTAAGAGGAACGCACCACCCGAAATTTTGAAGCGTTCCTGCGTTCTTGCGGAACCACCCGAAAAATCATATTGCTGCCAATGACCTCTGTGTCAAATATTTGAATCTCGAGTACGTGTGTCCGGTAGAGGCGCCACTTGTCGGTCGAATCGAGGAAGGCTTGTTTTGATTTAGTGGTGATGTTCACTATTCGATTCGGTTTCAGGCATTAAATGTGTAAAGTAAATATGATAACTTTTACTTAGATACATCTTTCAACTTAACTATTGTTTTTAAGCAGGTCGTATTTTTGTTGAAAACCCTACGGATGATATTGGTAAAACGTACTTCAGATATTCGATTCGGAAAAGAGATGTCGAGTTGCTTTTTGGCCCCGCATCGCCATTCTGGGTATTCTGTGATCGATTCGCCCCGTGTTTGGTTGGGCCCGCGCCGCGTGGTTCGGCGGTATTTCTTTGTCCACGACTTCGGTTGTGAAGAACACGCCTGTAGTGTTGGACTGGCGCGATTTGCCTACTTTGTCCGCTACAGTGTTGCGTTGCACTGATTTTGGTATGATTTGCTGCTTGGTAGAGCCAGAATACAATACAATACGGGTTAATAGTTTGGGACGCAGGAACGCAGGAACGCTAACGCACCGAGCGAAAAAAAATTGAGGAACGCTATTCCAGGAACGCACTAACCGCGGCCGGAGGAACGCAGGAACGCTAACGCACTACCGAAAATCGAGGAACGCGCCCAGCTCTGGTGATTTGAAGATCGCGTACCACAAATAACCTAAAGTTCTTATGCATAACCACATCTCTGACTTCGGTCGGTCGGCAATATACCTTCATGTCGAGACCCACTACATGTATTTACACATACACACATCGTTCGTCGTGTGCCCCAGATGAGGTCAGGAAATGTTCCATCGATCGGACCGCGCTGTGCGGGCCTGCCGAATCGGAACAGGGCCCTCCCCTCGCCGAGCTGCTGCTGCTGCTGCCGCTGCCGACGGGCCGGGACTGGGGCCACCGGCGGGATGACCAGGGGCTTACCCTGCTGGCGACGGAAAGCCTGCGGGCCAGCGGCGGAAAGCTCTCCGGCTATATTGCGGCCGACGTCAGGCGCAACTGTTCATTACGGACCATTGACGTGTCGCCGGCTGGCGCAGGGTATATAGAATACTGGCGTGTTCGTCCCAGGGGTCACGCAGACTGGGAGTGACAGCAGCGACGGCGCAGTCGCGACGGAGAAGGCGCCGCTCGAGAGATGACGGACGGTCTGGTGTAATGCAGATCGCACAACGTTGTTTTAAACTGCATCGGATTGTAATAGGTACCTAAGCGGAAGCAATATGTGAAATAAGCATTGTTAACTCTCGTGATGGGCAGGAATGTACCAGCGCAACTCGCCAACTCTCACGCTGAGTTTTGCTGCTTGCCATAGCTCGGCATTTATCTCACCTTCTCCGAGACCTGCTACCTAGGCCGTTATTCCTGAGTTAATGTGAGCTGCAGACTGCAGTGTATACGGGGGACCGGAGGCCGAAGTAGACGCCCGATTACGAATACGTGTGCTTCGTGCATTCCGTTCTCCGGATTCGCTCAAGTGTGAGCGAATACGGTGGCTCACATGCCACCAGCCACTCCCTAACAGGTATACTTTGTTACCGTGGCAGTCTCGCATGGCGACAGTAACAAGCCCTCGACTGTACCTTGCACACTACACTAATGGGATGAGACACGAATAGGAAACTTGTACACCGGGGCACATATAACAAGCCCCTGAAATACGAAATAGTGTAACCGGTAAATAAATGACCGGCAGATAGGTAAAACTCACTGAAAACAAGTTGAAAGAACGTAATGCAAAAGCATCTTAAAATATTCCACACTTAGGTTTTTTGGGTATTAGGGTAAACTGGCTTAGAGGCGAAGCAGAACGTCTGGTTCATGAAGAACACACACAGTGTTTCACATAGACCGAAGACACGTGCTGCTTCTTCGCGTGCAGTCTTAGCGGCCCCAGGGGGCTTCAACTCGACCAACACCGGTTCTTCTTCGTTCTCCCTAGTCACGTGATATTACGTCACACAAAGCGCGCGAAAGATTAACCCTTTGAAGGTTTTGCACGAACTAGCA